TGTGAATAACATAGTCAAACTAACCATGAATGAAGATAATATATTGCTTCTGAATATCATATTTTATACTCAAGAAAATACAGGAAGTTTTAAATTAAGGTAACTTGATCATGGAAAAAGAAATTACTGAAAATTCACATTATGAATGTTTGTTTCTTCTATTTAGAAAGTTTGCCCTTCTTTACTCTGTGAAGTAAACACTAACGCCAGGCTGACATGTCTTGGAGTATGGTTAGACACAGTGCCAGACACAAAAGCAAGCCTTCCTCCAGCTGCAGAGCCTTCTCCTGGTAATCGAATTTCATTGTTGTGAAATAAATAATCTGTTATCTCTTAAACTGTAGAAGTGGAGGAAATCTAGATAATTTCACTTTATTGGCAACCTGTGTTTATTTCATTCAAGGGGGAAGAATAGGCTTTTTAAAGGCACTGTCTTTTGTGTTTTAGTAAGTAAAGAACAGTCCAAAATCGGCAAAAAGGAGCCCGGTAACACCGTGCACAAAGAAGAAAAGCAGTCAAAACCTAACACAAAGAAATGCGGTTTAACTGATGACAGTCAGAAAGCAACACAGGAAAGTAGCCTGGTATCAACCAAGAAGAGAAAAAGGGTAGAAGTGTTGGAAAAGAAGAGGGAAAAGAAGAAAATAAAAGCAATGCAGTGAATCCCAGGTGTCTCCGAAAAGAACGCTTATAGATGGAATCATTCTTGATTCTATCTATATGGAATCAAATCAGATGTACCTTAATTTTATTTTTTCCCCTGAGTAAAAGCAAGGAATTTCTTCCTTTGAAGAAAATATACATAGTAAAAAGCCACTTTTAAGGGTTTTTTTTTTTAAACAGTGGTAAATTACTTTTGGCAGACAGTGTTTTGTGAATTATGTATCATGTTGATATATGTTAATATGTCATATGTAATTTTTACTTGTACAAAGCAAATAAAGATCTTTCTCAAAACATAATATAAAATAATATAAAATATTGAACACATTATTTATCAGATTTGGATTAAGGAGTCATTATTCAAAATTTTCTCCTAAAAGGGGAAGAATTTAAGAACAGCCTTTGGCCTCTTCAAATGGTAAGTAGTAATTTTAATGCAAATCGTGTTTATTTTGGTAACAAGGTATAAAAAGATTTTCATACCAAAAATTAAGATAAACTTAAAGATTGTGTATATATAAGATGTATATGTATAAAACAAACATGCTTAAGTTTAGGACCACATATGTAAGATCACAGAGAGACTGGCAGACTTCTTTAAACTACTCTTTTCCAAGCAGTAGATGTACAAAATAATTTAAGGACAGGAAAATGACCTTTCTAATTTTTATTTTATTCTTTTCAGGGCATCAGAAAAATTCACTTAGCTGATCTTCTCATAAAATTAGTCTTAAATCCAGCCTGTTGATAAATATTTTTCATCTTTTCATACCTGGAAAATTATTTTTTTCAGTAAGTTACTAGATGTTTTGAAAAGATGCATTTGGCTGGGCATGGTGGCTCACACATACAGTCCCAGCATTTCGGGAGGCTGAGGCAGGCTGATAGCATGAGCCAAGGAGTTTGAGACCAGCATGGGCAACATAGGGAGACCCCGTCTGTCCCCAAAACAGCTGGGAGCCACATGCATCTGTAGTCCCAGCTACGCAAGAGACGGAGGTGAGAAGAATGGCTTGAGCCCAGGATGTGGAAGTCACGGTGAGCTGAGACTGTGCCACTGTACTACAGCTTGGGCAACAGAGCCAGACCCTGTCTTAAAAAAAAAAAAAAAAAGACATAATTGGGGATCCATAGGTTTTTATTAACTGGGCAGATACTAGATACCTGAGACCATCAGGAGAAACTTCTGATTAGGCAGAATAAGATATCTAACAGGCACTGGAATTGCCACTCCATCGGAATAAATTACCTAGGAAATGAACCAAATTGTGTGTCTTAGTATCTGTCTACTCTTCTTTGTTAGCTTATTTCAGCCCTGTTAACATAAATATAGGTCACTGCCTTGTTTTTCTCAATTCAACTTCAATTTTGAGATCATTGTAGATTCCCATACACTTGTAAGAAATACCGAGATTCCACCAGGTTTTCCCAATGATAATATCTTGCAAAACCAGGACAGTATCACAACCAAGCCAAGATATAATAGAAATGATAGTCATCAAGATACAGGACATTTCTTTTTTTTTTTTTTTTGAGACGGAGTTTCGCTCTTGTTACCCAGGCTGGAGTGCAATGGCGCGATCTCGGCTCACTACAACCTCCGCCTCCTGGGTTCAAGCAATTCTCCTGCCTCAGCCTCCTGAGTAGCTAGGATTACAGGCACGCGCCACCATGCCCAGCTGATTTTTTGTATTTTTAGTAGAGACGGGGTTTCACCATGTTGACCAGGATGGTCTCGATCTCTCGACCTCGTGATCCACCCGCCTCGGCCTCCCAAAGCGCTGGGATTACAGGCTTGAGCCACCGCGCCCGGCCGATATAGGACATTTCTATCACAAGAATCCTATCTGTTGTCCTTACAAGCCATACTTTTCTCTTGTGCTCGTATAGCTCCACCCACCTTCGTAACCTCTGGCACTAGTGATCTCTTTTCCATTTCTATAATTTTGCCAAAATTATAATTGGATTATACTTTCTTTTGGGATTGGCTTTTTTCACTCACCATAACCTCTGGGCATTGATCCAGCCTGTTGCACCAGTAGTTCTATTTTTAGTACTGAGCGAGATGTCAATAGAGATATACCATAGTAAACACCTGTGAAAGGACATCAGGAATGCTTCCTGTTGTTAGGTATCTAAATAAACTGCTGTAAACATTTGTGTACAGGTTTTTATGTGAACCATAGTCTTTATTTCTCTTGGATAAGTGCCCAGGAGCTCCAAGGTTTTTCAGAATAGCTGTATGATTTTACATTTCTACTAGTAATGTTTGAGTGATCCAGTTTTTCTGCATCATTTCCAGCATTTAATGTTACTCTTAGCCATTCTGGTAAGAGTGTAGTGATATCTTACTGTGGTTGTAACTTAGAATTGCTCTGCTAGCTAATGATGTTAATCATCCTTCCATGTGCTTATTTGCCATCTGTGTATCATAATTGGTGAAATGTCTTTTGTCCATGTTCAAATTATATATTTTATTCTTTTTTGCTGTTGTATTTCAAGAGTTTTTCTGAGATGGAGTCTCGCTCTGTCACCCAGGCTGGAGTGCAGTGGTACAATCTTGGCTCACTGTAACCTCCACCTCCCGAGTTCAAGCGATTCTCGTGCCTCAGCCTCTCAAGTAGCTAGGATTGCAGGTACATGCCACCACACCTGGCTATTTGGATTTTTAGTAGAGGTGGGCCAGCCATGTTGGCCAGGGTGACTTCAAGTGATCTTCCTATCTAGACTCCCAAAGTGCTGGGATTACAGGCGTGAGCCGCCACGCCCAACGGAGAGTTTGTTATATATTGTAGAAATGTTTGTAGGAAAATATTTTTGCCTAGTCTGTAGCTTGTATTTTATCCTAACAGTCTTTTGCAGAGCTAAAATTTTTTTTATTTTGTTGAAATCCAGTTCATCAATTTTTCCTTTCATGGATCATGCTTTTAGTGTTAAGCTTAGGAAACCTTTGTCTAGCAAAGGTTTATCTCTTTGTCCTCAAGAGGTTCTATGTTTTCAAAAGGTTTTGTAAAGTTTTACATTTAGTATGTGTTTAGTAAATGTTTAATTTGAAGTTTATTTTCTTGCCTATGGACATCAACTTGCTGTAGCCTCTCGTTGAAAAGACTGTCCTTCCTCTATTGAAATGCATTTGCCTCTTTGCCAGAATTCAACTGAGCGTATTAGTGTGGGTCTGTTACTGGGCTCTCCATTTTGTTATGTTGATCTGTGTTGATCTTTTTGCCAGTACCATACAGTCTTAATTAGTCCAGCTATATAATTAAAGCTTTGAATTTAGGTAGAATGATTCTACCCCTTTTCCCTTCTGCCTTTCCATATGAAATTTAGGATAGTTCTATCCTTCTCTCCAAAAAAAAAAAAAAAAAAAAAAAATTATTTACAGTCGTGTCACGTAATGACAGGGATACATTTTGAGAAATGCCTCATTAGATGATTTCATTTTATGTGAACATCATAGGGTGTGCTTACACAAACCTATATGGTAGAGCCTGCTAACACACCTAGGCCATATGGTAGTCATAGTCTTAAGTGACCACCATTGTATATGCCATCCGTTGTTGACCAAAATGTCATTATATTGCAACCTCTGCCTCCCAGATTCACGAGATTCCCCTGCCTCAGCCTCCCTAGTAGCTGGGATTACAGGTGCACACCACCACACCTGGCTAATTCTTGTCTTTCTAGTTCTTTTTTTTTTTTTTTTTTGAGACGGAGTTTCGCTCTTGTTACCCAGGCTGGAATGCAATGGCGCGATCTCGGCTCACCGCAACCTCCGCCTCCTGGGTTCAGACAATTCTCCTGCCTCAGCCTCCTGAGTAGCTGGGATTACAGGCACGCGCCACCATGCCCAGCTATTTTTTTTGTATTTTTTAGTAGAGACGGGGTTTCACCATGTTGGCCAGGATGGTCTCGATCTGTTGACCTCGTGATCCACCCGCCTCGGCCTCCCAAAGTGCTGGGATTACAGGCTTGAGCCACCGCGCCCGGCCTAGTTCTATTCATTTTGAGATGGAGTCCCGCTGTGCAAGACCCAATTCCAACTCTGTGTTTCTGGCTTTTGGCCACTCGGGATACAACCTGGGACTGGTGCTGGTCGGCCCTGCAGGCGCTGTGGATCAAGGAGGCACAGAGATTCCCCGCCGGGTTTGCGGGACTCCGGCGCGCGCCGCCAAGCCCTGCCTCGCTCCCCGCCCCCTGGACGCAGGGCTGGTGTTGCTACTCTGCGGCTGAAGCCCCGCGATTCTTCGCCTGCCCCGCTCCCGGGACACTGCGCATGCGCCATGAAACCGCGCCCCTCTCCCCGCCCCGGTCCCCGGAAGCCCAGGGAGCGCCGCCGCCGCGAGGCCTGCTGACCTGCCCGCGGCTTGCGCGCCCTTGTAGACTCCACCGGCATTCGGGAGGTCGGTGCGGGTACCTGGGGATTATTCTTACTGTCTTCTGCCACTTTTAGCTTTTAGGGGTTATTTAGGAGTTTCGCGGCCGTCTGCTTTTCGTCCCCCGATTCAGCCGGGCCTTTAGTCGGTGTGGTCGGTGCTTTGCTCGTTGGGTACTTTCTGCTTGTCTTAAAAGTGGTTGTGGACGCGCGGAGCCCCTGAGCTCCTGAGGCAGAGGCTCACCCGTGTAGCATCGTGTTGCCTCGTTTCCTGGAGGTTTTGTTGCTCCATCTCTTTAAAAGTCTCGCTAACTCATTGCCGCCTCCAGTTAAGACCTGTGGGCAAGATCCCAAGCTCCCTGCCCTTTCCCGTTTTATGGAAACTTTTTTTTTTTTCCCCCTTGAGGGAGGGTCTCTGTCTCAGGCCGGAGTGCAGTAGTCAGAATATGTCTCATTGCAGCTTCTGTCTCCTGGGCTCAAGTCGTCTTCCCGTCTTAGCCTCCCAAGTAGCTGGAATTAGAGGCGTGTGCCACCATTCCCGATTAAATTTTTTTTTGTATTTTTTAGTAGACAGTGGGTTTCACCATGTTGGCCAGGCTGGTCTCGAACTCCTAACTCCAGGTGATCCGCCCGCCTGGGTCTCCCAAAGTACAGACAGGGATTACAGGCGTGAGCCACCGCGCCTGGCCTGAATAAATGGGATATGCATTGCTTTCATCGTTAGGCTCACTGGATACAGGATACTTTTCTGTAAGAAAATAGGAGCTGCTTTTCCAAAGGGTGCAATGTCACATGTGAATATGGCTAGGGTTTCTGTATATTTTATCCTCTATTTCTGCCCTCCTAACAATAACTGTGAGTTGGACGCAGACGTTTCTAAAAAAGTTGATTGTTGAAATTCGGTGTTGTGGCAGGGACAAAAAGCAACACCCTGGCCTCTTCTACACAAAAGAGACGTTAAAGTAGTTAGATTAAGGGCCCCTTCTACCTAAAGGAGACATTAAAGTCGTTGGATTAAGGGCACGGGAGTTCTTGCTTTCCGATTTAGTGGTAATGTGGGTAGCTGATGAAGTGGCTAACACGTTACCTAATTATAGAGCTGGTCAGTTGACCTTGCTGAGTTTCCTGTGGGCCTATGTGATTAGAATTGAGGTTTTGATGACAATGGTTGGCATCTGTTCAGCGTTTACTATGTGCTAAGCACCTTTACCTGTGACTCCCCCCCCCCCACCAATGCTCAGAACAGCCCCAGGAAATTGGTAGCAGTGTTATCCCCATGGTACCGTGAAGGATGCTGAGACTTAGGTTGCGTAGCTTGCAGGTTGCACACACTTCTTTCTGACTGCTGGAGAGCTGTGCTTTTAACTGCCTCTGATCCAGCCTGTTTTCTGCAGGTGCAGGCCTGGGGTAGCCTCCTGTCTGGACAGAGAAGAGAAGAATGCAGGACACCGGCTCAGTGTGAGTGGACAGTAAATGTAAATGGAGTAGCCAGGAACTTCTGGAAACCAGAGTTCCTTTCCTCAGCTGAAAACCCTAAAAGTAGACTGCCTGGGACAGCATGGGGGGTGGGAGGATCACTGGACCTGTGTGCCAGTGACTTGAGTTTGAGTCCCAGCTCTGGCTTTGCTGAGTTGTGTGGCTTTCAGAAAGTCATTCAACCTCTGTGGGCCTTATTTCAGTGATAGGACCTGTGGGGAGTGATTGATTACCTTTTAGTCTGATCAGTGACAGTATGGTTTGTTTTTAAAGCCAGGTTAGCACTGACTTCTCACTTCTCATGTTTTCAGAGTGCCTTTGCATTGGATTGGTTTTGGCTATGCAGCACTGGTTGCTACTGGTGGGATCATTGGCTATGTAAAAGCAGGTATGGTTTTGTTTTTACTTAGCCTCTTAACATCTTCACGTTGTTCCAGTGAAAAGTGAGTGCCCAGGGTCCCTGACGAGCCATTGAGTCCCGTTTGCTGTAGGTCCCAGGTTGGGGTGCAGGCTTCCTTGTCAGTCTTGCAGCTCCTGCATTTGCCTTTTGGTTATCTGGTCAAGCCAAGCCAGGCCTCTTGTCAAATTCCTAGTTTTTATCACTTTATCTAAAGACAAGCAGGGGTGGTTGTAGATTGTTGCTATCGTTGACGGCCATGCATCAGCCATGGGCCCCAAGTGCCATCTCTGGCCTCAAGTAGGAGGAAACCTCTAGTCTTTGTAACAGACTTATGTTTTGAAGTCTCCTCGTTAGGCCAGGCAGGGGTGTGTCAGTGGCTGTGCTTGTTTCTGCCCCTTTGACCTTGCCTACAATCCCACCCCAACCCCTGCACCAGAATTCTTATTCTCAAGATTTTTTATTTTTTTTTTAACTGACTGACTGTTTTCCCCTCTCCTTTTGTGATTTGCGGGAGGTCCTGCCTGTACAACCTGCCTGATCATGGTTGATCAGACGTGACTAGAAAGAAGGTCTAGCCACAGTTCCATGTAAGGAAGGAAGATGGCTTTCTTTCCTTTCCTTAGCTGGAAGTGCCCTGCCTATTAGAAGGGAGAAAGATGGGGTGGGAAGACCCTGGCTTCTCTGATAAGATAGAAAAGTTCCTGAAACATCCTCCTCTTGTGTCCACCTTGGTTATGAGCTGAGAGTTCTCTTTGCTGTCTTTCTTAGTAGGGAGGGGTGTCTGGTGGATTCTGTTAGTGAAGTAGGTGCCTCATGTTAAAATGAACACTGTGTTTGCCTCTCCTCTAGGCAGTGTGCCATCCCTGGCCGCAGGGGCTGCTCTTCGGCAGCCTAGCTGGCCTGGGTTCTTACCAGCTGTCTCAGGATCCAAGGAACGTTTGGGTTTTCCTAGGTATGTCTGCTTTTGTATGTCCTTAGGGCAGCTGTGTATGCGAATTAGTGTTTTCCAGAAGGCCCTGGTTTGGTGGGATGGAACAAGTTCATCATACTTAACTTATGACAGTTTCACTGCTTCTACCAAGTCCTTAGAAAGTTTTAAAATGAGGGTGCGGATACAGGAATTGTGCTGGTTTCTCTTTATCTTTTATGTACAGAACGTGGAAAGATTTTTCTACCTCATGAATGTATCTACCTAGTAGCATTAAACTTCTATATATAGAAATTGAGCGTTAAACTCCTGTATAACAGTTTAGCGTTAAACTTCTGTAAGGCCAATATGTGTCAACTGTTGAGGTCCCCACTGAAGACCATTGGCTTCATCATCACTAAAATATCACACATCTGGGTTAGGTTTGCATTGGAATTGCAGTGTTCTCATTTGAAAATCACCTTTAGCAGTCAACTAAAATGTGACTGCGGTGGCTCAGGCCTGTAATTCAAGCACTTTGGGAGGCCGAGGCAGGCGGATCATGAGGTCCAGAGTTCGAGACCAGCCTGGCCAACATGGTGAAACCCCGTGTCTACTAAAAATACAAAAATTAGCCAGGTGTGGTGGCATATGCCTGTAGTCCTAGCTACTGGGGAAGCTGAGGTGGTAGAATCACTTGAATCTGGGAAGTAGAGGTTGCAGTGAGCTGAGATAGCGCCATTGCACTCCAGGCTGGGTGACAGAGTGAGACTCCGTCTAAAAAAAGAAAAAAACAAACAAACAAAAAACAATTATAAAAGTTAGCTGGGTGTGGTGATGGGTACCTATAGTCCCAGTTACTCAGGAGGCTGAGGCAGGAGAATCATTTGAACCTGGGAGGTGGAGGTTGCACTGAGTTGAGATCATGCCACTGCGCTTCCAGCCTGGGCGACAAAGCAAGACTCCGTGTCAACAACAACAAAAAACATAAACAAAAAACATGGATGTAGAAGCAGGACTGGAAATGTACCCTGTGAACAGCAAGGACAGTGAGTGGTATGGGGGAACAGAAGAGTCCTTATCAGGGTGGCTTTCAGCACATTTCTGTTGGGCTCCACCTGTGTGTCAGACACTGTTAGGAGTATGGGTTTGTCACCGTCTCCACAAACCCCTGGTGTGAGAATGAGTGCCGTGCAGGAGGGAGAACCCTTATGATCCATACACATCAGCCGGGGTTGGGAATGGAAGTCAGTGATGGCTGGTGAGCTGTGCTGGGGAAGCAGCTGCACCCACGTCCCAGCTCTGCCTAACAGCTTCCTTCCTCATGATCCAGAATGACTTTCGGTCTGTGTTTTCCCTTTCTCTAATCCTACTCTACTCAGCAAATGACCTCATGCCTACTTCAGGGAGAAAAGCAGCCATCAGGTGGGGATTCCCTGGAGCCTTTAATTTCCAAGCCTCAGTCCTGTTTCCCTCCTCTCCGAGACCAGTGTCTTCCTCTGGGTTTGGGTGTCTTCTCCCCGACCTCTGGAGCTTTACACTGGCAAGGATCCCGTCTTGTATTTGTATTCCCCCTTTTAGGTGGATCCCCCTGTTGACATTCAGATGTGCTTGTCTCCTTCCCCTTCATGAAATTCTCTTTTTTTGAAACAGAATCTTACTGTGCTGCCCAGGCTGGAGTGCAGTGGCGAGATCTCAGCTCACTGCGAACTCCATCTCCTGTGTTCAAACAATTCTCCTGCCTCAGCCTTCTGGGGAGGTGGGATTACAGGAATCTGCCAACACAACCAACTAATTTTTCTGTTTTTAGTAGAAATGGGTTTTGCCATGTTGGCCAGGCTGGTCTTGAACTCCTGACCTCAGGTTTGCGAGGCTGAGGCAGGCAGATTGCCTGAGCTCAGTTTGAGACCACTGTGGGCAACATGGTGAAACTTGGTCTCACTAAAATACAAAAAAAAAAAAAAAAAAAAGCCAGGTATGGTGGTGGGCACCTGTAGTCACAGCTACTTAGGAGGCTGAGACTTGAGAATTGCTTGATCTTGGGAGGCGGAGGTTGCAGTGAGCCAAGATCATGCCATTGCCCACCAGCCTGGGCAACAGAGTGAGACTCTGTCTCCAAAAAAAAAAAAAAAAACCACTCTGTTCATGTGTCTCTCTGCTTAGTATCCTTTAATAGCTTCTCATTGCTCTCAGGATGAAAACCCAATCCCTAGTATGGCCTTACAAGACTCCATGTGGTCTGGCCCCTCTTATTCACAAACTGCATCTTGACTTCTGTGCCACACTGGCCTCTTAGGGTGAATGTGCTGTGCTCCCTGTCATTCCGGGGCCTCTGCATATACTGTCCCCTCTCCCTGGAATGGGACTTCCCATCCTTCAGCTCATTAACTCCTGCTGTAACTTTAGATCTCTGCCAATCTTCCCTTCCTTGGCTAAGCTTTGCATGATCTCCCTGATTAGGTTGATCCCCCTGTTAACGCTTTTTTGTGTAGCATCAGTTATACCTGAAGCACAAATTGTACCTTCTTTTTTTGTGTGTGTTTCTTTAAAGTCTGTCCCATCAGACCTGAAGCATTGTAAAAGGGCAAAGACAGTTTCGATTACCTTTGTATTCTCCAGGACCTAATACAATGCTTGACATGTAGTAGGTGCTTTGACAGATGGCCAGTGGGACTTGTGTGCAGGGTAGAGGAAATAGTGTCTGCGTGGCATGAAAAACAGCAGCATTTTGGAGAAAACTAACACACTGATGGCTAAAGTATAGGTTTTGCAGAAGACGAGTGGTAAGTAAGAGATGAGGCTGGAAGGGCAGGCAGGCTTTGAAGGGCCCTGTCTGACCAATGTTGGTAATTGGATCCATAGGATGTGGGCAGCCAGTAATCTCCCCCTACCTGGGGCAGGAGGAATGAGCATAGGATGAGGCGTGAGCCTGGAGAGATAAGTGGGGCTTGGCCCACTTCTGATTCCCCTGCGTAGAAGATGTAATGAGTTTTCACCCTTCTTTGTATCTTTTTCATCAGCTACATCTGGTACCTTAGCTGGCGTTATGGGAATGAGATTCTACCACTCTGGAAAATTCATGCCTGCAGGTTTAATCGCAGGTGCCAGGTACTTTCCCTTCTATTACTCTTCTTTACCATGTAGAGTTCAGTTTATTGCCCAGGATACTTTGTACATTCAAAACCTTACTTGTTTCAGGGTATCTGATGCTATGCATCAACTGACATTTGATTTATACACTAATAGGAAACACTTCAAAAGCAATAGCTGGTTTAATGTCAAAATGGCATGAGTATATCCATTCATTGTGGAAATGGCTTTGTTCTCATATTTGCTCTCTGGTCCATCCTAGTTCGTCCCTGTGGTGGCCGAAGTTTTAGTGTGAAGCCTTTTATGTGACTTGCACAGAAGGTGTGGGGGGTCCCATATTTCTTAGATATGTAGGTGTTTTTTTATAGAAAATTTTGCTAAAAGGGAATTTTGATTGAATCCTGTTTTTATTTTTATTTATTTATTTTTTTGAGATAGAGCATTGCTCTGTTGCCCAGGTTGGAGTATAGTGGTGCAATCTCTGATCACTGCAACCACCGGCCTCCCAGGTTCAAGCAACTCTCATGCCTCAGCCTCCATAGTAGCTGGTACTATAGGCATGCACCACTACGCCTGGCTAATTTTTGTAGTTTTGGTAGAGATGGGGTTTCACCATTGTTGGCCAGCCTGGTCTCAAACTCCAGACCTCGTGATCCACTTGCCTCGGCCTCCCAAAGTGCTAGGATTACAGGCGTGACCCACTGCACCTGGCCATGTTTTCTAATTTTGATTATAAAACCTAAACCAAATTGTGGTTTTTAAAAAAATTTACTTATAGGCCAGGTGTGATGGCTTATGCCTATAATCCCAAGCACTTTGGGAGGCTAGAGTGAATGGATCACTTGAGATTAGGAGTTCAAAACCAGTCTGGCCAACATCATGAAACCCCATCTCTATGAAAAATATAAAAGTTAACCGGGCATGGTGGCACACACCTGCAATCCTAGCTCCTTGGGAGGCTGAAGCAGGAGAATCGCTTCAACCTGGAAGGTGGAGGTTGCAGTGAGCCAAAATTGTGCCGCTATACTCCAGCCTGGGCAACAGAGTGAGTGAGACTGTGTCTCAAAAAAGAAAAGAAAAGTTAATTGTTAAGTATCATAAAGACATCCTCAAGGTGGGGGAATTTTTAAAAATCTGTTTTGGGCCAGGCGTGGTGACTCACACCTGTAATGTCAGCACTTTGGGAGGCTGAGGCAGGCAGATCGCCTGAGGTAAGATACAAAATTAGTTGGGCATGGTGGCACATGCCTATAATCCCAACTACTCGGGAGGCTGAGGCAGGAGAATCGCTTGAACCTCGGACGTGGAGATTGTGGTGAGCCGAGATCACGTCATTGCACTTCAGACTGGGCAACAAGAGCAAAACTCCGTCCAAAAAAAAAAAAAAAAAATCTGTTTTGGAAAAAAAATTACATGCTCTACTCTAATTGTAGTTATGATGCTGCCAGTATAATGTTTTATACCTGAAGCAAAACAGTATGGATCAAGGTCTAGAGCACTAAACTGAAACGCTGGGATTCTACCATTAATTAGCTTTGTGTGGTGGGGAAGTCTTGCTCTCTCTTGCCTCCACTTCATCTCTTCAAGTTGTTGGCAGTTGCATTAGGATCCAGCTCATGTGTGCTATTTTAAAACCTCAGTGTGAGACTGTCCCTTGGCATGCTTTTTCTCTGGTTCCTGCGAAGATGGAAGTTTTACCTCTGACCAGCTCTTGTCTTTTTTTTTTTTTTTTTTTTTTTGAGACGGAGTTTCGCTCTTGTTACCCAGGCTGGAGTGCAATGGCGCGATCTCGGCTCACCGCAACCTCCGCCTCCTGGGTTCAGGCAATTCTCCTGCCTCAGCCTCCTGAGTAGCTGGGATCACAGGCACGCGCCACCATGCCCAGCTACTTTTTTGTATTTTTAGTAGAGACGGGGTTTCACCATGTTGACCAGGATGGTCTCGATCTCTTGACCTCGTGATCCACCCGCCTCGGCCTCCCAAAGTGCTGGGATTACAGGCTTGAGCCACCGCGCCCGGCCCAGCTCTTGTCTTTGTACCTCCTCACCTATGCAGTTGTGAGGAACCTGGAGTTTAGTTCCTTAAAAACATAGTTGCCTGTTCTGTCCTTTACCTGACGTTTTCTATCTGTGTTTCTTTTAAACAGTTTGCTGATGGTTGCCAAAGTTGGAGTTAGTATGTTCAACAGACCCCATTAGCAGAAGTCATGTTCCAGCTTGGACTCATGAAGAATTAAAAATCTGGCATATTATACTATTTTCAGTGTATGAAGAGAAATAAAGGCAGCATTTTAGCATCTGACATTTTACCTAAAAAAAAAAAAAAAAAAAAAAGCCACCAAACATAGCAGAGGGGTGGAAAATCAGTCATTACGATTACGATCCTACAGGGGTGGCAAGTATGTTACAGAAGAGCTTAATAAGACCCTCATAGAGATCAATTCTTATATATTGATGTTATCACTATTTTCTGTATCTGTAGGTAAATCTCAAGGGTAAAATGTCAGGTGCCATCTTTGAGGGCCCTGAAACCCCATTCCCTGCTCAGAGGAACAGTGTGAAAAAATATCTTATGGTTAGAATATCTGTTCTTTTGCTCATCGTAAAGCACAGACTGATGTTGAAATTATGTTAAATGAAATACCAATGAAAATAAAGTTTACTATAAATAATATTTCCTATGATGTCTTCATTGCTAGAGCTGTCTAGTTCATAGAATGAGATGTTGATAGCAGCAAGATATAGAAACATGAAAGTATTTTGTTGCTATTTAGAAACCTATTTTGAGTAATTTAAGGACTAAGGAAAGTTATTTGATTGTACATTGCATTGAAGCTTGTTTCAAAAATGATCTCTGAGGATTTTCTTCGTTTTTCAAGAGACAGGGTCTTTGTCGCCGAGGCCGGAGGGCAGTGGTGCAATCGTATCTCACTGAGCCTCAAACTCTTGGGCTCAGTCATCTTACCTCAGCCTCCTAAGTAGCTGGTACAGCTGGTGCACATCACCACACCCTGCTAATTTATTTCATTTTTTTGTAGAGATGGGATCTTGCTATGTTGCCCAGGCTGGTCTCAAATTTCTGGTCTCAAGTGATCCTCTCTCCTGGCCTCCCAAAGTAGTGGAGTAATAAGCATGAGCTATTGTACCTGGCCGCTGAGGATTTCTAAGATTAGGACTGTGTAGAGAAAAAAGAAAAGGTATTTTTGTTGTTGTTAATTACTTCATACATAAATGTGAAACCACAAGACTCATCTGGAGCTTCAATCACCTAATTTGGTCTCTACATTGGATACATTAACCGGATGCTAGTACATTTCTAGTTTACTTTATTCCTGTTTCAGCATGAAGAATTAATCTGGTACCCCTTGCTTTAGTTTTCATTCCCTCTTTATTTTTTATTTATTTTTTTTTTTGAGACGGAGTTTTCGCTCTTGTTACCCAGGCTGGAGTGCAATGGCGCGATCTCGGCTCACCGCAACCTCCACCTCCTGGGCTCAGGCAATTCTCCTGCCTCAGCCTCCTAAGTAGCTGGGATTACAGGCACGCGCCACCACGCCCAGCTAGTTTTTTTGTATTTTTAGTAGAGACGGGGTTTCACATGTTGACCAGGATGGTCTCGATCTCTCGACCTCGTGATCCACCCACCTCGGCCTCCCAAAGTGCTGGGATTACAGGCTTGAGCCACCGCGCCCGGCCTCATTCCCTCTTTAAAAGGAACGGGTACTAGCTATGAGCTCTATCCTAACTGGCATTGGTTTAGAGTATGATTCAGACATTGTATGTATTAGCGTAAGCCCCTTGAAATTGTTCCTACTTTTCTATCCTTTTTTATAGGACACTGGACAATTAAGGGCACCTGTGTTGCAGTGGTAGAGGCATCAGAAGGCCATAGACCATCCAAACCCACCATCTTCTCAGGCTTCTATAGCTAAGATTTTGAATCGTTATGTTGGCCATTTTTTCATGTGTCATGGAATGTTTCCAAAGGGCATATATTTTTGCCACCTTCAGTCCTAGAGGAGGACCTGGCTCCTCCTGAATGTGGGAATTTAGGTGTCGAGTTGATGCCTGTGTGACTATTGGGTCCCCAGCAATCAACCTGTAAAATTCTAAAGCTGCTCACTGATGGGAGGCATGAGGTCTTCATAGCTCTTGCCAACTCCCCTTGTCCCTGCTTCTCTGTAGAGATCCTGGAGTATTTATTGTCACAAGGGTTGTGCTGGGTCCTAGCACTGCAAAGGACGGGCCATGGTGCTTGCCCTCTGTACCTACACAGAAGAGCTATGTGTTCTGGTTGAGGAACGACACTACAAGAGGCAGCATATTGCAGAGTTAAGGACGTAGGCTTTGACGTTAGACCTTACTTTAAATAATAGCTCTACCACTGACCAGGAATGTAGGTAATTTAATTCTCTGAGGTTCAATCTCTTCACGTATTAAGGTGGGGGAAGGACGCGAGGATCATCGTAGATGATCCTAATTAAGGTTTGACGCTTGCCTCTGCATAGGGAATAATGAGTCCCTAAAGCCATTCCCTGCTGGTTAAGACAAGTGTCCTTATTAATTGTTCAGGAAAGTCTTCAATTAAAGTGAAGGTCTGGCATATTGCAGTTGCCGCAAGTTCTTCGTCATTATCAGCTTTGGCTGGTTAGAATCAGCTATGATAAACACGGGCTTCAATTTTGCTATCTGGAAGGTAGGTGCTGCGGCGGCAAGTTTTAAGTTTTTCCTTAAGAATATGCGCTACGATTTGCTTTATTCACTGACGATTCTATTGCTCAGACTTGTCTATGTTGTTACTTGCACGGGATGAAGGAGGGGGAGAAGTCAACGATGACAGCAAATTTTAGTGTTGAGCAACTGAGCCAGTGGTGGTGCAGGAAACGAGGAGCGGCTTGGAGGTGGGAATGGAGGTAACGTCACGCTGTGGACATCTGGGATCCACAGAGCTGGGTGGAGATCAGATTTAACTTGCTCTCTCTCCCACTTTACGATACTTCTCAAGTAGCCTCACTCCCTAAAACAAACGGTATTTGGCAGTGAGCCACATTATTCTGCAGCCGCCATGTTTTCTTGCAGGTAGAAGGCAGGCCCTTTCTGGTGTAAACAAACGAGATCGGGCTAGAATGACAATCCTCCCTGACGGCCAGTATCTGGTTTATACCCGGTAACTTGTCCCTCTATTAATGGGGTTCTTCAGAATCCAGCCTCAGAAGCCCTCCTCCCGCAGTGGTGGCCTTCACCTCCGGCCTGGCGCGGCTCACGTGGTCCAGCTTGTGCAAGACCCAATGCCAACTCCGTGTTTCCGGCTTTTGGCCAGGATAGAACCTGGGACTGGTGCTGGTCGGCCCTGCAGGCGCTCAGCCTGTGGACCTAGGAAGCACGGAGATTCCCCGCCCGGTTCCCGAGACTTCCGGGCGCGCCGCTATGCCCCGCCCTGCTCCCCGCCCCCGGGATGCAGGGCGCTTGCGGCTGCTCCTCCGCAGCTCTAGTTCGGCCGCCGCCGACCCCTATTCCCTGCCGGTCCCTATTATTCCCTGCCGGTCCCTATTATTCCCTGCCGGTCCCTCTCCCGGCACACTGCGCACGCGCCACAACGCCCCGCCCCTCTCCCCGCCCTGTCGCGTCCCGGGGAGGCAGGTAGAGCGCATGCTGCCGCATTTTCGGCGAAACCTGGCTCCCTTGCCCCGCGGCTTCTGTGCAGGTGTGGACCGTGCGTGCCTTCGGAAGATCGGTGCGGACCCTTGGGGAATAGTCTTATTATTTTCTGCCACTTTTAGCTTTTAGGGGTTATTTAGGAGTTTCGCGGCCGTCTGCTTTTCGTCCCCCCGATTCAGCCGGGCCTTTAGTCGGTGTGGTCGGTGCTTTGCTCGTTGGGTACTTTCTGCTTGTCTTAAAAGTGGTTGTGGACGCGCGGAGCCCCTGAGCTCCTGAGGCAGAGGCTCACCCGTGTAGCATCGTGTTGCCTCGTTTCCTGGAGGTTTTGTTGCTCCATCTCTTTAAAAGCCTCGCTAACTCATTACCGCCTGCAGTTTAGTACTGTGGGCAAGATCCCAAACCCCTTGCCTTTCCCGTTTTATGGAAACTTACTTTATTTATTTATTTATTTATTTATTTATTTATTTTATTATTTATTTATTTATTTATTTATTTATTTATTTATTTATTTATCTGACCGAGGGTCTCGCTCTGTCGCCCAGGTTGGAGCGCAGTAGCCTGAATATGTCTCATTGCAGCCTCTGCCTCCAGAGCTCAAATCAGGCTCCCACCTCAGCCTTGCCCGGCCTGATTATTTAAACAAGATAAACGGGGTGTGTATTGCTTTCCATCTTGTTAGGCTCACTAGATACAAGATAGTTTTCTGTAAGAAAATAAGAGCTGTTTCTCCAAGGATGCAGGGTCAGATGTGAATATGACTAGGGTTTCCTTATATTTTATTCTCCCCTTATCCGCCTTATATTTTATCTGTCCTCCTAACTGTAACTGTAGAGGCCGGACGCTGTGGCTCACACCCAGCACTTTGGGAGGCCGAGGTGGGCATAACGAGGTGAAGAGTTCAAGACCAGCCTAGATGGTGAAACCCCGTCTCTACTAATATACAGAAATTAGCCAGGTGTGGTGGCGCATTCCTCTAATCCCAGCTACTCGGGAGGCTGAGGCAGGAGAATCGCTTGAACTAGGGAAGCGATGGTTGCAGTGAGCCGAGACAGTGTCACTGTACTCAAGCCTGGGCGACAGAGTGAGACTCCACCCCCCACCTCCACCCCCCCAAAAAAAACCTGTGAGTTGGATGTAGAAGTTTCTAAAAAAGTTGAGTATTGAAATTGGGTGTTTTGGCAGGGATGAAAAGCAACACCCCTACCTCCCCCAAAAAGAGACGTTAAAGTAGTTGGATTAAAGGCATGGGAGTACTTGCTTTCCGATTTAGTGGTAGTATGGTTAGCTGATGAAATGGCTAACACATTACCTGATTATAGAGCTGGTCAGTGGGTCCTGCTCAGTTTGCTGTGATTAGAATTGAGGTTTTGATGACAGTGGTTGGCATCTGTTCAGTGTTTACTATGTGCTAAGCACCTTTACCTGTGACCCCCCCCCCACCCCGAATGCTCACAACAGCCCTAGGAAATTGGTAGCAGTGTTATCCCCATGGTACAGTGAAGGATGCTGAGACTTAGGTTGCGTAGCTTGCAGGTTGGACACACTTCTTTCTGACTGCTGGAGAGCTATGATTTTAACCACCTCTGATCCAGCCTGTTTTCCTGCAGGTGCAGGCCTGGGGTAGCCTCCTGTCTGGACAGAGAAGAGAAGAATGGAGAAGGGCTTCACCCCAATGTGAGTGGACAGTAAATGTCAGTGGAGTAGCCAGGAGCTTCTGGAAACCAGAGTTCCTTTCCTCAGCTGAAAACCCTGAAAGTAGACTGCCTGGGACCGCATGGGGGGTTGGGTGGATCACTGGACCTGTGTGCCAGTGACTTGGGTTTGAGTCCCAGCTCTGGTTTTGCCGAGTTGTGTGGCTTTCAGAAAGTCATTCAACCTCTGTGGGCCTTATTTTCAGTTATAAGACATGCTCTGTTACCACACTGGAGTGCAGTGGCACAATCTCAGCTCACTGCAACCTCCACCTCCCAGGTTCAAGTGATTCTCCTGCCTCAGCCTCCTGAGTAGCTGGGACTACAGGTGTGCGCCACCACGCCCAACTAATTTTTGTATTTTTAATAGAGATGGGGTTTTACCACTTTGGCTAGGATGATCTCTATCTCCTGACCTCATGATCCACCCACTTTAGCTTCCCAAAGTGCTGGGATTACAGGCGTGAACCACCGCACCTGGCAGGAATGATTGCCTTTTAGTCCCATCCTATGACTGTATGGTTTGTTTCTAAAGCGTGGTTGGCACTGACTTCTCACCCTGCTGTTTTCAGAGTGCCTTTGTATTGGTTTGGCTATGGCTACACAGCACTGGTTGCTTCTGGCGGGATCTTTGGCTATGTAAAAACAGGTATGGTTTTGTCATTACTTAGCCTCTTAACATCGTCACATTGTTCGAGTGAAAAGCGAGTGCCCAGGGTCCCTGAAGAGCCATGTCCTTTTTTTTTTTTTTTTTGCTTTTTTGTTGTTGCAAACAGGTACTTGTCTGAAGAGCCATCTCCTTTGAGTCAGGTTTGCTGTAGATCCCCAAGCTGGAGTGCAGGCTTTCTTGTCAGTCTTGTAGCTCCTATACTTGCCTTTTGGTTATCTGACAAAGCCAAGCCAGCCTTCTTGTGGAATTCCTTGTTTTTGCCTCTTTATCTGAAGATAGGCGGGGCTGATTGTAGATTGTTACTATTGATTGCCATGCATCAGCCATGGCCCCCAAGTGCCATCTCTGGCCTCAAGTAGGAGGAAACCTCTGGTCTTAACAGACTTAATGTTTTGAAGTCTCCTCCTTAGGCCAGGCAGGGGTGTGTCAGTGGCTGTGCTTGTTTCTGCCCCTTTGACCTTGCCTACAATCCCACCCCAACCCCTGCACCAGAATTCTTATTCTCAAGATTTTTTATTTTTTTTTTTAACTGACTGACTGTTTTCCCCTCTCCTTTTGTGATTTGCGGGAGGTCCTGCCTGTACAACCTGCCTGATCATGGTTGATCAGACGTGACTAGAAAGAAGGCCTAGCCACAGTTCCATGTAAGGAAGGAAGATGGCTTTCTTTCCTTTCCTTAGCTGGAAGTGCCCTGCCTATTAGAAGGGAGAAAGATGGGGTGGGAAGACCCTGGCTTCTCTGATAAGATAGAAAAGTCCCTGAAACATCCTCCTCTTGTGTCCACCTTGGTTATGAGCTGAGAGTTCTCTTTGCTGTCTTTCTTAGTAGGGAGGGGTGTCTGGTGGATTCTGTTAGTGAAGTAGGTGCCTCATGTTAAAATGAACACTGTGTTTGCCTCCCTCTAGGCAGAGTGCCATCCTTGGTTGTGGGGCTGCTCTTCGGCAGCCTAGCTGGCCTGGGTTCTTACCAGCTGTCTCAGGATCCAAGGAACGTTTGGCTTTTCCTAGGTATGTCTGCTTTTTTATGTCCTTAGGGCAGCTGTGTATGCGGATTAGTCTTTTCCAAAAGGCCCTGGTTTGGTGGGATGGGGCGAGTTCATTATACTTAACTTATGATAGTTACACTGCTTCTACCAAGTCCTTGGAAAGCTTTAAAATAGGGGTAGGATGGCGGGAATCGTGCTGGTTTCTGTTTATCATTTATGTACTGAATATGGAAAGGTTTCCATACTTCATGAATATATTTACCCGGTATAATTTGCATTAAACTTGTGAAAAAAAAAAGGGAAAAAGAAATTAGCTGGCTATAGTGGCGGGCGCCTATAGTCCCGGCTGCTCAGGAGGCTGAGACAAGAATTGCTTGATCCCAGGAGGTAGAGGTTGTCATGAGCCAAGATCATGTCACTGTACTCCAGCCTGTGTGGTAGAGTGAGACTCTGTCTCAAAAAAAAAAAAAAAAAAAAAAAGAAATTCTGTTCATGTGTCCCTCGGCTTAGTATTCTTTAATAGCTTCTCACTACTCTTAGAATGAAAACCCAATCCCTACTATGGCCTTCAAGCCTCCATGTCATCAGGCACCTCCTCCTCACAAGCTGCATCTTGACTTCTGTGCCACACTGGCCTCTTAGGGTGAATGTGCTGTGCTCCCTGTCATTCCGGGGCCTCTGCATATACTGTCCCCTCTCCCTGGAATGGGACTTCCCATCCTTCAGCTCATTAACTCCTGCTGTAACTGTAGATCTCTGCCAATCTTCCCTTCCTTGGCTAAGCCTTGCATGATCTCCCTGAGTAGGTTGATCCCCCTGTTATGCTTTTTTGTGTGGCATCAGTTATACCTGAAGCACAAATTGTACCTTCTTTTTTTGTGTGTGTTTCTTTAAAGTCTGTCCCATCAGACCTGAAGCATTGTAAAAGGGCAAAGACAGTTTCGATTACCTTTGTATTCTCCAGGACCTAATACAGTGCTTGACATGTAGTAGGTGCTTTGACAGATGGCCAGTGGGACTTGTGTGCAGGGTAGAGGAAATAGTGTCTGCGTGGCATGAAAAACAGCAGCATTTTGGAGAAAACTAACATGTTGATGGCTGAAGTGTGGGTTTTGCAGAAGATGAGTGGTAACTAAGAGATGAGGCTGGAAGGGCAGGCAGGCTTTGAAGGGCCCTGTCTGACCAACATTGGTAATTGGATCCATAGGATGTGGGCAGCCAGTAATTTCCCCCTATCTGGGGCAGGAGGAATGAGCATAGGATGAGGCGTGAGCCTGGAGAGATAAGTGGGGCTTGGCCCACTTCTGATTCCCCTGCATAGAAGATGTAATGAGTTTTCACCCTTCTTTGTATCTTTTTCAGCTGCTACATCTGGTACCTTTGCTAGTGTTATGGCATTGAGATCCTACTACTATGGAAAAGTCATGCCTGTAGGTTTAATCGCAGGTGCCAGGTACTTTCCCTTCTATTACTCTTCTTTACCACGTGGAGTTCAGTATATTGCCCAGGATACTTTGTACATTCAAAACCTTACTTGTTACAGGATATCTGATACCATGCATGAACTGACATTTGATTTATACACTAGTAGAAAATGCTTCAAAAGCAATAGTTGGTTTAATGTCAAAATGGCATGAGTATATCCATTCACTGTGAAAATGGCTTTGTTCTCATACTTGTTCTCTGGTCCATCCTAGCTCCTCCCTATGGTGGCCGAAGTTTTAGTGCAAAGCCATGACTGCAGCCTTTTTTGTAACTTGAGGTGGATGTGTGGGGGTCCCATATTTCTTAGATGTATAGGTGACTTTTATAGAAAATTTTGCTGAAAGGGAATTTTGATTGAATCCTGTTTTCTTTCTTTCTTTCTTTCTTTTTTTTTTGAGACAGAGTTTCACTCTTGTTACCCAGGCTGGAGTGCAATGGCACGATCTCGGCTCACCGCAACCTCCGCTTCCTGGGTTCAAGCAATTCTCCTGCCTCAGCCTCCTGAGTAGCTGGGATCACAGGCACGCACCACCATGCCCAGCTAATTTTTTGTATTTTTAGTAGAGATGGGGTTTCACCATGTTGACCAGGATGGTCTCGATCTCTTGACCTCATGATCCACCCGCCTCGGCCTCCCAAAGTGCTGGGATTACAGGCTTGAGCCACCGCGCCCGGCCCTGAATCCTGTTTTCTAATTTTGATTATAAAACCTAAACCAAATTGTGATTTTAAAAAAATTCAGTTGTAGGCTAGGCATAGTGACTTACACCTGTAATCCCAGCACTTTGGGAGGCCGAGGCAGGTGGATCACTCGAAGTCAGGAGTTCGAGACCAGCCTGGCCAACAAGGTGAAACTCTGTCTCTATGAAAAATACAAAAATTAGCTGGGTGTGGTGGTGCATGCCTGTAATCCCAGCTACTCAGGAGGCTGAGGAAGGAGAGTCACTTGAACCAATGAGGCTGAGGTTGCAGTGAGCTGAAATTGTGCCACTGCACTCCAGCCTGGGCAACAGAGTGAGACTCCATCTCAAAAAAAAAAAAAAAAAAAAAAAAAAAAAATTCAGTTGTTAAGTATGATAAAGTCATCCTGAATGCAGGGGAATTTTAAAAAGCCTATTTTGGAGAAAGATTACATCCCTCTACTTTGATCATGGTCGTGATGCTGCCAGTATAATGTTTTATACCTGGAGGAAAAGAGTCAGTGTGGAGCTAGATCAAGAGCAGTAAACTGAGAGGCTTTAGGTTCTACCATTAATTAGCTCTGTGTGGCGGGGAAGCCTTGCTCTCTCTTGCCTCTGTTTCTTCAAATTATTGGCAGTAGCATTAGGATCCAGCTCATGTGTGCTATTTTAAGACCTCAGAGTGATACTGTTCCTTGGTATGCTTTTCTCTGGTTCCTCCAGGGATGGAAATTTTACCTGTGACCACTCTTGCCTTAGTACCTCCTCCCCCATGCAGTTGTGACGAACCTGCATAGTTTAGTTCCTTAAAAACACAGTTGCCTGTTCTGTCGTTTACCTGATGTTTTCTGTCTGTTTCTTTTGAACAGTTTGCTGATGGTCGCCAAAGTTGGAGCTCGTATGTTGATGACATACGATGAGTAGAAGTCGTGCTCCAAGCTGGACTCATGAAGAATTCAAATCTGAATCTTCCACTATTTTCAATGTATTAAGAGAAATAAGGCAGATTTTTTGCATTTTTGACATTTTGCCTAAAAAAAAAGACACCAAATTGGGCAGAGGACTGGAAAATCAGTTGTTATCATTACAACCCTACAGAGGTGGTGAGTATGTACCACAAGCTTATTTAGACCTTCATAGAGATCGATTCTTGTATATTGATGTTGTTGCTTTCTGTATCTACTGGTAAATCTCCATGGTAAAATGTTAGGTGTTGTCATTGAGAACCCTGAAACCCCATTCCCTGCTCAGAGGAACAGTGTGAAAAACTCTCTTATGAGAGTTAGAATATCGGTTCTTTTGCTTGTCTTAAAGCATAGACTGACTTTGAAATTATGTTAAATGAAATATTGGTGAAAATATAGTTTACTGTAAGTAATATTTCCTATGGTGTCTTCATTGCTAGAGCTGTCTAGTTTATAGAATGAGATGTTGCAAGATGTAGAAACATGAAAGTATTTTGTTAATATTTAGGAATTACCAGGCCGGGCGCGATGGCTCACGCCTGTAATCCCAGCACTTTGGAAGGCGGAGGCGGGATCACGAGGTCAAGAGATCGAGACCATCCTGGTCAACATGGTGAAACCCTATCTCTACTAAAAACACAAAAAATTAGCTGGGCATGGTGGTGTGTGCCTGTAATCCCAGCTACTCAGGAGGCTGAGGCAAGAGAATTGCCTGAACCCAGGAGGCAGAGGTTGCGGTGAGCCAAGATTGCGCCATTGCACTTCAGCCTGGGTAACAAGAGCGAAACTCTGTCTCAAAAAAATTTAGGAATTACCTATTTTAAGTAATTTAAGGATCAAGAAAAGATACTTGATTGTACATTGCATTGAAGCTTGTTTCAAAAATGATCTCTGAGGATTTTTTTTTTTTTAAGAGACAGTGTCTTTCTCTGTCACTTAGGCTAGAGGGTAGTGGTGCAGTCATATCTCACTGTGTCCTCGAACTCTTGGGTTCAATCATCCCGCCTCAGCCTCCTGAGTAGCTGGTGCTACTGTCGCTCGTCAGCATGCCTGGCTTACTTGTTTTATTTTTTTGTGGAGATAGTGTCCTGCTGTGTTGTCCAGACTGGTAACCCCTTCCCTCAAGCGATCCGCTCTCCTTGGCCTCCCAGAGTGCTGGGGTAATAAGCATGAGCCACTGTACCTGGCCACTGAGGATTTCTAAGATTAGGACTGTGTAGCCAAAAAAAAAAAAAAAAAAAAAAGCTGGTGTTTTTTTTTTTTTTTTTGGTTGTTGTTAATTAGAAGCCCCACCTAGAGCTTGAATCACCTAGTAATTTGGTCTCTATATTGGATACATTAACTGAACACTGGTGTATTTTTGGTTCACTTTATTTTTGTTTCAGCATGAGGAATTAACTCAATCTGGTACCCCTTGCTTTAGTTTTCATTCCTTCTTTAAAAAGGTAAGGATATTTGCTACTGATCTACCCTAACTGATATTGGTTGAGTTTAGAGTATAATTCAGGCACTTCATGTATTTGGATAAGCCCCTTGAAAGTGTTCTAGTTTTCCATCCTTTTTTATAGGACACGGGACAATTAAGGGCACTTGTATTGCAGTGGTAGAGGCATCAGAAGGCCATAGACCATCCAAACCCACCATCCTCCCAGGCTTCCACAGCTAAGATTTTGAATCATGACTTTGGCCCTTTCTTGATGTATCATGGAGTGTTTCCAAAGGGCACACATTTTGCCATCTTCGGTCCTAGGGAGGACCTGGATCGTGAATGACAGGGTTCCCTGAAAGTGGGAATTAGTTTAGGTGCCAGTAGATTCCTGTGTGACTATTTGGTTCCCAGCCATCAGCCTAGAAAATTCTAAGGCTGCCCACTGATAGAGGCAGGTCTTCATAGCCTTACCAAGTCCCCTCGTCCTCACTTCTCTGCAAAGATTCCTGAGTATTTACTGTCATAAGGGTTGTGCTGGGTCCTAGCAGTGCAAGGAACAAGCCATGGTGCTTGCCTTTTTGGAGTCTAGTGGAAGAGGCAGACATCTAAACGAAGGCAATATAGAAATAAGTGTAATGAAGGTGGATCTATATTACTGTGGGGGCACCAAGGAGGGGAGTGGGCATTTCTGTTTAGGGAGTCAAGGGAAGCTGCACAAAGGACCAATAGTTAGAAACTGAGTCTTGTCAGTTGATTCCTGAGTCAGCTGAAATGAACTTTTGTCAGTTGCCTATGAATAGGAAGTCATAGACAAGGATAGGGACAAATGTCTCAGGTAGAGGGAGCAATACATACAGTGCCTCAAAGGCATGAAACTGTAGCACAACTGGCTTCAACCCTTTTCTTAGAGATCTAATTCTTTTTAATGGCTTTAAGTTGTGCTGATGTTTACTATTTAGTTTACCATTCCCCTACTGATAGAACTGTCTTGTTTAATGCCTCTGATAGCCGGGAGTGGTGTCTCACGCCTATAATCCCAGCACTTTGGGAGGATCACCTGAGGCCTTTGATATTAATCCCAGTACTTTGGGAGGCCGAGGCAGGTGGATCACGAGGTCAAGAAATCAAGACCATCCTGGCCAATATAGTGAAACCCCGTCTCCACTAAAATACAAAATTAGCTGGGCATGGTGGTGTGCGCCTGTAGTCCCAGCTACTCGGGAGGCTGAGGCAGGAGAATAGCTTGAACCCGGGAGGTGGAGGTTGCACATGAGATCGCACCACTGCACTCCAGCCTGGCACCTGGTGACAAAGTGAAGCTCTGTCTCAAAAAGAAAGAAAGAAAAAAAAACTCAATAGTCAGAAAATAACCCAATTTAAAGGTGGGCAAAAGATCTGAACAGATACCTCACCAAAGAAGACAGACAGATGGCAATGCAGATGAAAAGGTGCTCAACATCATTTCATTAGAATGTGCATATAATAGCAGTGAGATGCCACTACACACCTAAATAATGACCAAAATCCAAAACACTGATGCCACCAAACACTGGTGTAGATGTGGAGTAGCAGGATCTCTCATTCATTGCTGCAGGAAATACAAAATGGTACAGATACTTTGGAGGACAGTTCGGCAGTTTCTTTTATTTTTTTTTATTTTTGCAGACGGAGTTTTGCTCGTCACCCAGGCTGTAGTGTAATAGTGCGATCTTGGCTCACTGCAACTTCTGCCTCGCAGGTTTAAGTGATTCTCCTGTCTCAGCCTCCTGAGTAGCTAGGTTTACAGGCATGCGCCAACACACCCACCTAATGTTTTTGTATTAGTAGATACGGGGTTTCACTGTGTTGGCCAGGCTAGTCTCGAACTCCTGACCCCAGGTGATTCTGGAAAAAGAAGAACTATGGAGATGGTAATGAGGTCTGTGGTGGCCAGAGGTTCAGGGCAAGATAGGGAAGGATGAATAGGGAGAGGACAGGATTTTGAGGAAATGAAAGGATTCTTATGATACTATAATGGTGTATACATGTCCTTATGTATTTTTTCAAAACCCATAGTGTACAACACAAAGAGTCAACCCTAATATAAACTGTGAACTCTAGTTAATAACAGTGTATCGGCCGGGCGCGGTGGCTCAAGCCTGTAATCCCAGCACTTTGGGAGGCAGAGGCGGGTGGATCACAAGGTCAAGAGATCAAGACCATCCTGGTCAACATGGTGAAACCCCGTCTCTACTAAAAATACAAAAAAATTAGCTGGGCACGGTGGCGCGTGCCTGTAATCCCAGCTACTCAGGAGGCTGAGGCAGGAGAATTGCCTGAACCCAGGAGGCGGAGGTTGCGGTGAGCCGAGATCACGCCATTGCACTCCAGCCTGGGTAACAAGAGCGAAACTCTGTCTCAAAAAAAAAAAAAAATAAAAATAACAGTGTATCAATACTGGCTTATCAGTTGTAATGAATGATCTACATGAATGCAAGATTTTGATAATAGGGAAAATTCGGGAGGGGGAGATAAAGGAACATATGGGAACTCTACTTTCTGATCAATATTTTCATAAACCTAAAACTGCTTTTTTTTTTTTTTTTTTTTTTTAAGACGGAGTCTTGCTCTGTGGTCAGGCTAGAGTGCAGTAGCATGATCTCGGCTCACTCCAACCTCTGCCTTCTGGTTTCAAGCAATTCTCCTGCCTCAGCCTCCTGAGTAGCTGGGATTACAGGTGCCAGCCACCACACCCAGCTAATTTTTGTGTATTTTTAGTAGAGGTGGGGTTTCACCATATTGGTCAGGCTGGTCTTGAACTCCTGGCCTCAAGTGATCTGCCCGCCTTCGCCTCCCAAAGTGTTGGGATTACAGGCGTGAGCCACTGCGCCTGGCCCTAAAATGGCATTTTTTTTTTTTTTGAGACGGAGTTTCGCTCTTGTTAGCCAGGCTAAAGTGCAATGGCGCAATCTCGGCTCACCGCAACCTCCGCCTCCTGGGTTCAGGCAATTCTCCTGCCTCAGCCTCCTGAGTAGCTGGGATTACAGGCACGTGCCACCATGCCCAGCTAATTTTTTGTATTTTTAGTAGAGACGGGGTTTCACCATGTTGACCAGGGTGGTCTCGCTCTCTTGACCTCGTGATCCACCCGCCTCGGCCTCCCAAAGTGCTGGGATTACAGGCTTGAGCCACCGCGCCTGGCTAAAATGACTTTTTTTAAAGTCTACTAATTAAGACCACAACAACAAATAGCATTCAGAATATAAGGTTTAAAAACATAATGAAAACACACTAGTTAACCATATTTATTTTAACATCTGAATAGAGTTTGAAAGTTTCCCAGTAACACAAAAGACTGCACAGCTTTGAGATATTAATTTAAACTGTGCAAATACATATAACCATTACCAGTAGGATAAATTACTCTTTAGATTTTAACATTTTTCAACATCTTACATCTGAACAGCTGAATCTTCTATACAAAAATATCATTATTATTTTATAATATGTCTTTGGATAATGCCCACAAGGTGATACCTATTACAATAGCAGTTGTTACAAAGTCACAAAATACATAAAAATCTCAGCAGTTGATAACATTATTATTCTTTAAAAAGAATATATAGTACTATCCAGTCCAGAAAGACTGCAACTTTAAACAGAGTAGTGCAAAGTTTAAAGTGTCTAAAATACCAGTTTGGAAATAAACTAAGAAAATAATATATGTACTATGTGAAGTCACTGCCCCAGCAGCTGAACGCACTTGCTTTAGAGCAAATGTGAAGGTCAGAGCTGAGTCAGTGGTCAGCAGCATGAGTTGGCTTGGGGGAACCAGCTGGCAAGCTTCATCTTTGCGCCTGGTAGGGACACAGCAACAAAGCAGTTTGAGAAGTCCAGTGAACCAGCATCAGACATAGTTTCAAGAACTTTCTTAATGATGTCAACCCTGACTTGATTAATATGGAAGTCATCAAGCCATTGGGTTTGACAGTCACCTTGAATTCATGGGAGATATACTGGTCAAGATCAAAACAGATATCGACTAAAATTCAGGTGGCATAACTTTGATGTTAAAGATAAATTTATTTCTAAAAAACAAGTCAGGCACAGTGACTCACACCTGTAATCCCCACACTTTGGGAGGCCGAGGCGGGTGAATCTTCTGAGGTCAGGAGTTAGAGACCAGCCTGGCCAACATGGTGAAACCCCGTCTCTACAAATAATACAAAAATTAGCCAGTCGTGGTGGTGCAGGCCTCTAGTCCCAGCTGCTAGGGAGGCGAGGCAGGAGGATCGCTTGAACCCAGGAGGTAGAGGTTGCATTGAGCCAAGATCATGCCATTGCACTCCAGCTTGGGCAACAAGAGTGAAACTCTGCCCCCCCGCCCCCCAAAAAAGACGTCCTGCTCAATATTGAAATTACCATTGCTCCCATAGCTTCAAAGTAGAAAAACTAATAACTGTAATCTTTCCGCCATTGACAAAATGGCAGTGCAGAGCCTTAGCCAAATAAGAATCACAGCTGACAGGCAGCAGAGGTTGGCCCAACTGCTGTGCAAAAACAAAAGAGCCAATCACTGCAAAGTGATGAAATAATAAATCATTTGGTCATATACAACAAATGAAAACTAAAACGCTCTAAACATTTTCTGGAAGTTCCTTTTTTTAAGGATTCTTACTGGATTTACTGTTTATTAAGTTGTAGATTGAATACTTCATCCTTTGGCAAATAGTTTATTCAATACTTTGTAACATCCTACTAATATATAAACACTGGGCAATGATGCTAAGAAAATGGATTTCATAGAAAGAAATAAAACAGGAGATGACTTTTGCTCTTCCAAGTACCCACTTTTGCATATTTCTTTCAGAACTCAGTAGCAGAAATAGACATTTGTAGACATTTCCCACGGTCAAGGAACTTGCATGTACGCTATGGAGCAATGCTGTGGGTTTCAACCACAGACTCCTACCGGTGGCCTCCATACTTGGCCACCCAGTCTGTCCTCCCGTGCACTGAGGGAATGGGCTGTGCACGGTTCACAATATTTAGGTTTTTTGCTGTAGGATTGTAAGTACGTCCTGAAAACTGCCCCCGACCAGTTTTTGTGTTCCAGGTATATTCTGAAAGAAATCAGATTTGGAAATTAGAATTTTACTCATTTGCTTATCAAACTCAAAATAAAAAAAAAATCATCCTCTCATTTGATGGGGGAAATGTGAATTTATGTTTAAAAGATTAACTCAGTACTCTCTGAGGCTTTTTAAATGTTAAAACCAAAAATTGTAGTGCAGTATTATATTGACATCAATTAGAATTTCCAGTAGCTGGCCAGTCACAGTGCCTTATGCCTGTGATCCCAGCACTTTAGGAGGCCAAGGCAGGTGGATCACCTGAAGTCAGGAGTTTGAGACCAGCCTGGCTAACATAGTGAAACCCTGTTTCTACTAAAAATACAAAAAAAATTAGCTGAGCATGGTGGCAGGTGCCTGTAATCCCAGCTACTCAGGAGGCTGAGGCAGGAGAAGTGCTTGAACCCAGGAGGTGGAGGTTGCAGTAAGCCAAGACTGTACCATTGCACTCCAGCCTGGGTAACAAGAGTGAAACTCCACCTCAAAAAAAAAAAAAAAAAAAAAAAAATTTCAATAGCTGAAGAGCGAATATTTCTGGTTTGTAGTGCTGACACTACTGCTATTTTCAATATTTTACTTTTAGATAGGCAACACCAGGCAAGAAGAACAAGAAAAATTCTTGGCTCAAATTCAGTGGGCAACACCCACAATGTTAGTGACTATGTAACACCACACTGCGGTTACATATAAAGAATATTTACACAGCATCACTGCAGAAAAATGTATCTGAAATTGTGAATCTATAAAACTGGCTTCATGGAGCAGCACACATGGGGTCCTATAGATTTCTTTTTAAAAATTAAAATGTAGTTTGCGCCGGGCGCGGTGGCTCAAGCCTGTAATCCCAGCACTTTGGGAGGCCGAGGCGGGTGGATCACAAGGTCAAGAGATCAAGACCATCTTGGTCAACAAGGCGAAACCCCGTCTCTACTAAAAATACAAAAAATTAGCTGGGCATGGTGGCTCGTGCCTGTAATCTCAGCTACTCAGGAGGCTGAGACAGGAGAATTGCCTGAACCCAGGAGGCAGAGGTTGCGGTGAGCCGAGATCGTGCCATTGCACTCCAGCCTGGGTAACAAGAGCGAAACTCCGTCTCAAAAAAAAAAAAAAAAAATTAAAATGTAGTTTTTAGAATAAAGATATTTCTTTTCTATTTTTTTTTTTTTTGTTGTTGTTGTTTTCTGAGATGGAATTTCACTTGTTGCCCAGGCTGGAGTGCAATGGAGTGATCTTGGCTCACTGTCACCTCTGCCCCCTGGGTTCAAGTCATTCTCCTGCCTCAGCCTCGTGAGTAGCTGAGATTACAGGCACCTGCTACCATGCCCAGCTAGTTTTTGTATTTTTAGTAGAGATGGGGTTTTGCCATGTTTGCTAGGCTGGTTTTGAACTCCTGACCTTGTGATCCGCCCACCTCGGCCTCCCAAAGTGTTGGGATTACAGGCGTGAACCACCGCGCCTGGCCGATACTTCATTTTTTGTTGGGAAAATCACAGGTGGGAACACAAATCCCTTAAATGGTAGCATCCCAAACTTTTAATCACAAGGTTGTTTCATTCATACATTTGACCATTTAAAAATTTGTGAAAAATTTAAAGTTTCTTAAACATTTATCTGAACAATTTATGAGCTAAAATTGCTTCAACATTTCAAAGGAGAAAGCAGATCATTTTACAGAGAACTTTAGATGCCTTCTTCAGTCCCTCCTTGAATTGAGAGCTAAAGTATCACAGGTATTGTATCTGAGGAGGGATGTTTGCTTTTTCCATCTGGGATTTAAATATCTTTTCACACTGTGTTGTAGCTGCCATTCTTGGATTAAATTCTGAGTGTTAATACTGAAATGAATCTGACCATTTTGTACCCCCAGCCCTAGCTAAACCATATTTACTGGCATGGTTTGCACAGTTTTTCTCAGATTGTCACTGTAAAACTGGGAGGTAGGAGGGAATTCTGTGAGCACATGGTCCTGAAGAGCTGCTAACTTCAGCCTGGGGTGAACAAGGTGTTAAGTGTGGACGCCCTCAGTAAAACAGATGCCTGGCTGCGGTGTAGTTTGGTGAAGGCAGGGAGGCCAGTAACTCCCCACTCCATGGTTTGACAGGTCCTTACATCCTACTTTTTTTTTTTTCTTTGAGATGGAGTCTCACTCTGTCGCCCAGGCTAGAGTGCGATGGTGCAATCTCGGCCCACTGTAACCTCTGCCACCCAGGTTCAAGTGATTCTCCTGCCTCAGCCTCCCGAGTAGCTGAGATTACAGGTGTGTGTCACCATGTCTGACTAATTTTTTGTATTTTTAGTAGAGATGGAGTTTCACTGTGTTAGTCAGGATGCTTTTGATCTCCTAACCTAGCGATCCACCTGCCTTGGCCTCCTAAAATGCTGGGATTACAGGCCTGAGCCACTGTGCTCGGCCCTACTCTTTTTTTTTTTTTTTTTTTTTTTTTTTTTTTGAGACAGAGTCTTGCTCTGTCGCCCCGGCTGGAGTGCAGCGGTATGATTTTGGCTTACTGTAACCTCTACCTCCCAGGTTCAAGCAATTCTTCTGCCTCAGCCTCCCAAGTAGCTGATACTACAGGCATGCACCACCATGCCTGGCTAATTTTTGTATTTTTATTAGAGATGGGGTTTCACCATATTGGTCAGGCTGGTCTCAAATGCCTGACCTTGTGATCTGCCCGCCTCCACCGCCCAGTGTGTTGAGATTACAGGCGTGAGCCACCTTGCCCAGCTGGCATTTAATTTCTTGTAGAAAATCTGTGCTAAAGGAAAGAAGTTTGCCTCTAGTTATGGATTTAATTGATGCCATTATGATGTAACTTTTAGTAAGATATAGAACTTCTGTAAGATGCAGATCATAATAGTAGCTCCTGGAAGAGAGGCCTGGGAGGATTAATTAGTTAATGTACACAGAGTGCTTAAAAGGGGGTCTTGTGCTTCTAAGGTGATCCTAAAGAGTGCTGTGTATAACAGAAGTCACTCCTCCAAGTCCTCGTTGTTAGTTTCAAAGCAGGGGATAAGGAAATATTAGGAAGTTTGAAAAAAGAGATTACATGGGGAGGGAGGAAGACATTTGATTTTCCTTCTCAAAACCTGAAGGGGAGAGGCCAGGCGTGGTGACTCACGCCTGTAATCCCAGCACTTTGGGAGGCCGAGGCGGGTGGATCACGAGGTCAAGAGATCAAGACCATCCTGGCCAATATAGTGAAACCCCGTGTCCACTAAAATACAAAATTAGCTGGGCATGGTGGTGTGCGCCTGTAGTCCCAGCTACTCGGGAGGCTGAGGCAGGAGAATAGCTTGAACCCGGGAGGTGGAGGTTGCAGTGAGCTGAGATCGCGCCATTGCACTCCAGCCTGGACCACAGTGAGACTCTGTCTCAAAAACAAAACAAAACAAAAAAACTTGAAAGAGAAGACCATGTGAAAAGGGGGAAATAGTTGAGTAAATATGGTAATGACCTGGTTTTATTTCCTTGTGGGAAACTGTCACCCAACTGGGAGGTCTGGAAGACACATCTCTTACAGAACAGTTTTTTTTTAAGGATTTGCATTGGCCACTTGAGAGTGATTAATATTTACTTCGTTTTTACCTTTCCTCCTATCACCATCTATAGGAAAATCTGATAAGCAGAGTAAATGAAGAAATGAAAAGTTAAGAGAAAGCATTTACTTAAAAGAAATAACAGGAATATGCATGTTAATTGAATAGAATAATTAATATATAAAGGCCTTCAATAGCTTACAAAAATATTTTTTAAAAGACCCACTCTTGACTGGGCGTGGTAGCTCATGCCTGTAATCCCAGCAGTTTGGGAGGCTGAGGTGGGCAGATCACCTGAGGTCAGGAGTTTAAGACCAGCCTGACCAACATGGAGAAACCCCATCTCTACTAAAAACACAAAAAATTAGCTGGGCATGGTGGCACATGCCTATAATCCCAGCTACTTGGGAGGCTGAGGCGGGAGAATCACTTGAACCCAGGAGGCAGAGGTTGCAGTGAGCCGAGATCATGCTGTTGCACTCCAGCCTGGGCAACAAGAGCAAAACTCTATCTCAAAAAATAAATACATAAGTAAATAAATAAATGAAAGTAAAATAAAATTTTATATTTCATATAAATGAATGACTCATAAGGCTGCCTGAAAATATTTGAGGCTTTATAAAAATCTCTGCTGTATATAAAATGTTTACTTATTTTGTTTCGTTGGAGAGATGATGAAGTAATTCTTTTCACAGATAAGGTAACTGTAGTACTATTTAAGCAGTTCTATTGCGGTAAGATATAAAAAATTAAACAAGTCTAGGCTTTAAACATTTTTAGCTCCACGACTGGCAACTCTAATCAGGTGTTTTAATATAGGTTCCTGTTAGGATGGGCTGTGAGCATACTTTCAGAGTCAACTTTTAAATTAAACTACAGGCCGGGCATAGTGGCTCGTGCCTGTAACCCCAGAGTTCTGGGAGGCCAAGGTAGGAGCGCTGCTTGAGCCCAGGAGTCAAGATCAGCTTGGGCAATACAGCAAGACCCTGTCTCTAGAAAAAGAAATTTTTTTAATTAGCTGGGTGTGGTGATGTGCACCTGTAGTCCCATCTACTCAGAAGGCCGAGGCAGGAGGATCACTTGAGCCCAGGAGTTCGAGGCTGCAGTGAGCCATGACTGCACCACTGCATTCCAGCCTGGGTGACAGAGTAAGGCTTTTTCTCTATAAAAAAAAGAGTTAAAATAAATAAATTAAACTACAATTAGGCATCTTATCAAACTTCTCATGATTTGCTTTAATGTTTATTTTTGGTGCTTCAGTAAGAATATCTATTTCAGATTAAAATGATTCAGAGACTACTCATGGTCAAATCTGATTGGCTTAAGTACAGAATCATCACCCTCCCTTTCAAGTGTGTACCCACATATGTGTATGTCACATGCCACGCCACTGGGGAGCAAGCTTACCTCAGTTTGGCATAATGCTGGAGGGGGTGGAGGGATGAACCCTTCCCCATCAGACACTATTGCAAAGCAAAAGGTAGGGTGTGAAAGTCCCGTCGTTAATTTCTATGCTCTAAGATGGAACTATAGAGAAACCTCTTGTTACCGGCTGGGCGTGGTGGCTTATGCCTGTAATCCCAGCACTTTGGGAGGCTGAGGCGGGTGGATCACCAGATCAGGAGTTCAAGACCAGCCTGACCAACATGGTGAAACCTCATCTGTACTAAAAATACAAAAAGTAGCCAGGCATGGTAGCATGTACCTGTAATCCCAGCTACTCGGGAGGGTGAGGTAGAGAACTGCTTGAGGTGGAGGCTGCAGTGAGCCGAGATTGCACTCCAGCCTGGGCAACAGCAAGACTCCATCTCAAAAAAAAAAAAAAAAAAAAAAAAAAAAAAGGATCCTCAAGTTAACTTATTCATACACAGACCGTCAGCATCTATGAAGCTTTCACTCTGCCAGGTCCTGGGCAGAAGGCTCTGGAAAAGGCATTTTCTTATATCTCACTGTGCAGCACAGCACATTCTTTGGAAGTGGATTAAGTGAGTTTCTATCCTAGCTCCACTAGCTGTGTGACCTCAGGTAAGTTACCTCACCTACACTTCATTTTCTGTAAAGAGATCTAGCTGTATCATCGTGAGGATTAAATGATATAATCCCAGTAAGCCCTTTACACTATGCTTGGCAGAGAGTCCCCATTTAATTAGAAGTAGCTCTTCTTATAATTATTAGACCCTCAACTCCACATTTTTGGAAGAAAAATAGGACATTTCAGTAAAAACAAAAAGAAATGCACTAATGAGGTGAGGCTGACTAAAAGTCTTCGCTTTGCAAAAGTGACTGCATAAACTTAATAAGGAAAATGTTCCTCTCTGCTCAGAAATCTAAAACACTGCGTCTGAAGTTGTTCTTACCTGAAGCCGTTGCATTGAGAGGTGCTAAGTGGATCCTCTGGCCAGCTGACCCCACTTCTTTTTTGAGAAAGGAAGGAATATATCCTGACTGATTATAAGTAGCGTAACTTCCAAGATTTCCTAGTGACATATCATAAAGTTTCATAGTCAGAAGATGAATATTTTTGGCACAGTAGAATAACATTGACTACTACCCCCATCACTTCTAAATACTATTTTTGAGCATCTACTATGTTGTAGGCAGTATGCTGTGCTTGTTACAGATACTCTTATTCCATCCGTACAACAACCCTCTTAGATCACATTATTATCCTTATTGCGTGGCTCTCCGGTATTAAGTAACTTGCCTGACTTCTCACAGTTAGACTGAGCTGGAGTCTGAACTCAAGGCCCAGGGGTATTATTCAGTTCACCCTTAACACGCCAGGCTTTCTCACAACCTCACTTCTTAACGTGGAGGTATATTTCCTGCTGTGAAGCCCCCATCTCTGAAGTGCTCTCTTTGTCTGTCTTCATTCTGTAAAATGGTTGTAAGTGGACCTATTTTTTTTTAGACGGAGTCCCACTCCGTTGCCCATGCTGGAGTGCAGTGGCACCATTTCCACTCACTGTAACTTCTCTCTCCAGGTTCAAGCAATTCTCCTGTCTCAGCCTCCCAAGTAGCTGGGATTACAGGCATGTGCCACCACACCCAGCTAATTTTTAAATTTTTAGTAGAGATGGGGTTTCACCATGTTGGTCAGGCTGGTCCCGAACTCCTGACCTCAGGTGATCCACCCACCTCAGCCTCCCAAAGTGCTGAGATTACAGGCGTGAGCCACCATGCCCAGCTGTAAGTGGACCTGTTCTCGTAGGGTTGTTGCAGGGACTGATGAGACTCTTCAGAGCATATGACATAGACTCTGTACTCATTAAATGTCAGCATCATCATCATCACTACTGGTGAATGTTCAATCTGGTGGTAGCATAGGGATGCACTGACAAGGAAAAATCTAAAATCTGGAGACCAGTCAGGAAGTCACTGCTTTAGCTGAAATGAGGGAGGATGAGGGTCTGAACCACGACAGTGGCAGAGGATGAAGAAGAAGGGAACTGAGCAGGTTTACAGGGTGGGGGTGGTAGGAAAGAGGGGGATGTAAACTCCTAAGTTTGTATGTAGCTCAGGTGACTGGATGCATTGTCCAAGAACAGCAACATAGAGGAGAATCAGAATTGGTGGAAATGACATGGTACCAGGAGGACACTGAATGTGGTAGGCAAAGGGTGAGTTGGCAGGCATGGAGATTGGTAATGATCAGGGTGTGGTGTTTCCAGAGTTGTGGGCTTGGTTGGAGAAGCCAGCTCAGAGGGGCTGCAAATGTGCAGAGACCGGGAGTAGACAACCAAGGAACATCAGTGTTAAGGGAGAGGAGAGAGAACAGGTAGAGAGGTAGATGGTAGGAGCAACAGGGCATGGAAATCCAAGACAATACACATTGAGTGTGAAAAGAAAAGGAATGGGAGGTGAGGCAGAGAGCTTGGATGGGTCCAGCACTGCCCATGGGATCTGGCCACTGGGATGTCAAGATCTTGCGGGAGCTGCTGCACTGGAAGGAAGCAGACAGGATACACGACAGAGTTCAGGAGCCAGCTGGAAGCGACAGGTGGTAGGGAGCTAGCTCTGCAGGGAAGGAGACAGGGTTGTCCCTAGAAAAGGTGAAACAGGGCTCATATGACCCTCATGGTTTCAAAGCACTGTTCAGTAAACAGAGTGTTTTTTCCATAGTGTTATCTGTTCACATGTCTCAACACTGGGCTCTGTGTTCCTGATGTCTCTCACGGCATATCAGGCTCTCAACAAATGTCTGCTCTTGAAGCAACGATTGTCAAAGTGCAATATTATGTTATCAGCCCTTAAAGGATTGTATACAGCAGGCGTCCACAAACTGCGGCCCCCTGAGGCCATTTATCCGGCCCCCCGCCACACTTCAGGAAGGGGCACCTCTTTCATTGGTGGTCAGTGAGAGGAGCACAGTATGTGGCGGCCCTCCAGTGGTCTGAGGGACAGTGAACTGGCCCCCTGTGTAAAAAGTTTGGGGACGCCTGGTATACAGAAAGCACATGCTCTAAATCTATACATGTTTAACTCTACTAAATTTTGCATAAGTTCAGCTGCCTACTTTAACCTTTTTCCCATCTCAGAAACTCATTCTGAAACACTCATCAGTTCTTTTTTTGAAAGAGAGAGTCTCGTTCTGTTGCCCAGGCTGGAGTGCACTTAGTGGTGGATCTCAGCTCACTGCAACCTCTGCCTCCTGGGTTCAAGCGGTTCTCCTGCCTCAGCCTCCCAAGTAGCTGGGACTACAGGCGCATACCACCACTCCCAGCTAATTTTTGTATTTTTAGTAGAGACAGGGTTTCATCACGTTGGTCAGGCTGGTCTTGAATTCCTGACCTCGTGATCCTCCTGCCTTAGCCTCCCAAGTGCTGGGATTACAGGCATGAGGCACCATACCTGGCCACTAATCAGTTCTTTACTTTAGAACACTTTTTGGAAGGAAATTCAAAGAGTGATTGTATTCAATAGCAACTTCAGATTGTGTCCCTTGGCTCTCATCCTCAGCAGCAGAGCAAATACTTATTAAATGCTTGACATGTGACAAAAATCCTAGGTAGGGTTATGTAGGAATACCTAAGGAAATTTCTTCCATTTTATGGACAGGAAAGTTGGCTTAAACAACTTGTCCCAAACCACAAAAGCTGGTGAGTGACAAAATGGCGATAGGTTAGACTCAAGGATTCATGCACTGAGGAGTTATAGGATGCTTCTTATTGGAGAAAGAAGTTGTTAGGGAAAAAAGCAGAAAATTAAGTCTTCTTAAATTATTTTGGCTTATTTGAAGTACCTTGTATACTGTGAGTTTTCAGGCTGGAGCCAGTGGTTAGCACTGTTGAAACCAGTGTCACTGAACCATCACTATTAACCCAGTTAACCTTTTTCATTTTTAAAATTATTTATTTATTTATTTATTTATTCATTCATTCATTCATTCATTCATTCATTCATTCATTCAGAGGGAGCCTCACTCTGTCACCCAGGCGGGAGTGCAATGGTGTGGTCTTGGCTCACTGCAACTTCTGCCTCCTGGGTTCAAGCAGTTCTCCTGCCTTAGCCTCCTGAGTAGCTGAGATTACAGGCATGCGCCATCACACCCAGCTAATTTTTCTATTTTTAGTAGAGACAAGGTTTCACTGTGTTGGTCAGGCTGGTCTCAAACTCCTGACCCCATGATCTGCTCACCTCATACTCCCAAAGTGCTGGGATTACAGGCGTGAGCCACTGCATCTGGCCCCAAGTTAACCTTTTAAAAAAAGTCATTGTTCATGTGTAAGAAATGAGTTTCAGAACTTTAAGAAAAAAATTCCAGGAATAATGATTACAAAATTAGAAAATATTCTTTTAATTCTTTTCCTTAGAATTATTTGCTTGATTTCTTCTATAAAATTCCATAATTAATTTAAGAAGACCAGCATAGAGCTTTTTGAGGCAAATTTATCTTAGAATGTCAACTACTGAAGGAAGATATTCTTGATGAGATAGGATGCTTTTCTTTATCCTAGTCCAGACTTCTAAAAGCAGATCATCTTGGCCTTTTATGTCAGGATCAGGGGCAAATTTTGAGAAGAAAATTAGACAAGAGATTCAAAGAACAAATTGCATTCATCTGACGCCCAGAAATTACCTTGTGGGTCCTCTAATTTTTCAGGAAATGTTTCATTGCATGATAGTTTTTCAATTGGTTTAATTATGCTTTCTTCTAAAGGGAAGGCAGATGGAAAGAAAGAATAATAGGAGAATGTTTTAGGAAAAGCAGAGAAAAATGGATTAGATGATTAATGAAAAGACCCAGCAAGAACCCTTAAAAATGCAAAAATGTCCTCATGTGCTGTCACGGCATTTATTTGATGCCAACTGTATATTCCCTTGAGACTCAAAGTTGTTCTTCTGTCATTTAATTGAGTTTGTATAACTGGTTCATTCAGTGAATATTATTTTTACATATCTGAGGAAAAAATAAGTAAATTCCAGTGCTGAAGTGTATGACACCTCAGCAACATTAAATGGATAAGCTGAGTTTTAAAGAATCTGGAAAACCTGTAAAAAGTCCACATGTATTGATGTCACATCAGAATATCTCATAAACTACTCACTCATTATAATGGCAATTGTCAAACTTTTTTGATCCAATATCACCTACATTAAAAAACACTACCTTTTCACACACTTCTAAGTTGATATTTAAAATTTTTAATCATAAGTTTAACAGTTGCAAAGGATGTTATTTCTAACATATGGTAACTGTAGGCATTTTAAAAATAAAACTATTAGTGATTTTATGCCCTCCAATAGTGACATAAAAATACATGAACAAGTTCCTTTCTGACACTTGGATATTCACATTAATTCCTTTTTCCCCTAAAATTATGTTTATATTTATACCTCAGCTTTGAAATTTTATCCAAATGTAATCTTTTTTTTTTTTTTTTTTTTTTTTTGAGATGGAGTTTCGCTCTTGTTACCCAGGCTGGAGTGCAATGGCGCGATCTCGGCTCATCGCAACCTCCGCCCCCTGGGTTCAGGCAATTCTCCTGCCTCAGCCTCTGGAGTAGGTGGGATTACAGGCACACGCCACCATGCCCAGCTAATTTTTTGCACGTTTAGTAGAGACGGGGTTTCACCATGTTGACCAGGATGGTCTTGATCTCTTGACCTCGTGATCCACCCGCCTCAGCCTCCCAAAGTGCTGGGATTACAGGCTTGAGCCACCGCGCCCGGCTTCCAAATGTAATCTTAAGCTTAAAAGTCTTAAAATTGGTCACTCTAAAATACGTGTAAATTAAAAATTTTTTAAATTTCTTGTAACCATAAAGATATTAAAATACAGTTATAATTACAATGATTAATTGTATATAATTAATCAAAAAAGATGAATATTACATATTTTGATTACTAAACATAAAAATAAAGTTTTCTGAAAACGCATCTCTTAATGAGAAAGATGGAACTTTTTTCAAGTAGTTCATGTATCAACAAATGAATATTTGTTGCTGGAATCACAGCATCAGGGCTATTTCCTCTCTTCTTTTTTCTTCCTTTTTGGAAACAGAAGCACGAAGAAATCTTGCTAATAGAAATAGTTGGGAACAAAAGGGGTTTTGTGATAGCTTCACCGCTATTCTTCAAACACTCTTCAGAGTTATAGGTAAAAATTCATATACTGATCTCATAAAAAACAAACATTTAAAAAAAAAATTACCTGTCAGCTAACAACTCAGGTCCTCCTTCAATTTTCTAAATGCTGAGAACTGTTAAGACTCCCTGACTTTAAAAAGGATCTGTTCCTCAGTCTTCAAATAAAAGTTACTTTCTCAACAGTGACCTCAACATAGCAGAATTTCCATTTCATTGGCACCCATTTCATTTTTACATTTTGGAGAAAAAGAAAACACACCATGGTGGCCAGTGAGAAGTCATCTTTTCTTTTACAAAGGAGGAGAACAGAGACTCTGCTAGGGCAGATCCATTTCAGCAGACTCAGATGGAGGTTGAGAATTCCCTTAAAACTATCTATACCCAAGTATCAGTGGGAAAACCTTTTTTTATTATTGTACTTTTTAATATATAGAGACATGGTTTTGCCATGTTGGCCAGGCTGATCTTGAACTCCTGGGCTCAAGGGACCTGCCCGCCTCTGCCTCCCAAAGTGCTGGGATTACAGGCATGAGCCCCCATGCCCATCCAGCTGAAAACAGCTCTATTGAAGAGGCAGTGTTACAACTCCATGACTGCTCTAGCAGAGCAGCGCTACGCCTAGGCAGAGAGTAGCAGAAAACCTTTGCATATCCCTCAGGTCCACATGGTTGGAAGAGCACTGCAATATATTTAAAAGTAGACATCTGTAAAGGAAAACCATGTGTATGTACATTTCGTATTCTTGTGTTACCTGCATTGTTCCTTTTGAAAGCAAGTTCTGCCCTGACGGGTCCCAGTGACTTAGGAAATAACTGATTGCTCCACATGTGGGGGTTTATTTCCTTTCCGCTGGCTATCAAGGACACGTTCTTGGGATTCACACCTGAGAAGAACAAAGCAGCCACTTTGAAGGTCAGAGTGGATCATAAGCTTGAAGGAAACATATGTAATACATTCAAAGACTAGAAATACCTTGGACAGGAGAACAGAAATAAATTTAGGTGAAAATGTAGCAGATACTTGCTTGCTGATGAACACTAACGTGATCCCAAGCCCTTGGCACAGCCACCTGGAATGCTGACAGTACTTTATAAGCAGAAATGTTTTCTATACTGTAGTAACATTTGATCTTCTTGCTAAGCTCTTGTAAAAACTGAAGTGGCACAAAAATTTTTCTTCAACAACATGACTTTTTTTTTTTTTTTTGAGACAGGGTCAGTAGAGAGGAGGTTTCACCATGTTGGCCAGGCTGATCTCAAACTCCTGGCCTCAAGTGAGCCATTTGCTTCGGCCTCCCAAAGTGCTGAGATTACAGGCATGAGCTGCCACACTCGACCCAACATGACATTTTCATGTCACTTGTTTTTAGCATTTACTCTTGGCCTAACCCTTGGTGTAGCAGGGAAAACAGACATGTGACTAAGAACTCAGGAAAACCTCTGAGGTTCGGAGGTATGAAGCTCGTCTGTATTGCTTATTGTATGTGAGATACAGTAAAATGGAAACAGTTTATTCCCTGTACACCAGAAAGAAGGCATTGGAAATGTAGTTGGAAAAGGGACAGTTTAAATTATGATGTTCTGAAATCTGTGAAATGTCCCTTCAGCCTTGGGCTGTGGTACTGGTGGTCAAAGGAAGTTGTTTCAACCTATTCTTAAGAGACTTGAAAACTTCCTGAGCTTGTTTTCTTTTTACTGATAATGAAATGAGAGTGAACTTGCACAGTCTATGCCTTTAGGTCATTCACGGAGAATTTTCTTTATCTAGTGTATAAGTCATCACTGAGGACTCCATTGATTTAAGAAGTTAGAACTGTCTCCAGGCAGTTGAGCTTTTGCTTTTCGCAAGCTGAATTCCTTAGAACGGCTTCATGTTTATGAGATATATAATAATATTCCTTATTTTGAAACCAGAAATACTGAGCTTCAAAAGTTACCCACTGTTCTCTAAGGAAACACGTTATCAGGCAAATAATTCCCCTTTCTTATAGGATATAACTTCCCTAATAAAACACCTACAAATCAAACTATAATAGAATATTTTATGAGTTATATAAGTAAATATTTTGTACTTTTTAGTAGCGATGGGGTTTCACCATGTTGGCCAGGACGGTCTCGATCTCTTGACCTCGTGATTTGCCCACCTCTGCCTCCCAAAGTGCTGGGATTACAGGCATGAGCCCCTGTGCCTGGTCACTCAAGTAAATATTTTAAAGTAAATGGTAAGTAAACTATTGAAGATAACTAGTTTAATTCAAGGTCTATTTAAGATGAAGATTGCAATGTTGTTGGAAATAGATATATCCTAGAATTTTGTTATTTATCAGTTTATAAGTTTTCACTGGATACCTTCTACACACTAAACACTGTTAGGAGGAAGCATAAATTAATATAATTTGATATTATAATGATAGATATTATATGATGATAGTTCCTTGCCTCAAAGGGCATAAAAAAGGTCAGTTAGCAAATATTAACTGAGCACCCACCAGTGCCAGGCAGTGTGTGTGGCACTGGAGAAAAAGTGGCAAACAAAATAGACCAGTTTCTATTCTTTGGCGCTTGTAATCTAATGAGAAGGGAGGCATTTTTAGTTATAACTAAGTAAATACATCATGAGCAGTGTTAATAATGTTTAGAAGAATCTGGGGTGGCAAATGACAGAAGCAACTCAGCCAGTCTTTCTTTCAAATAGGCAATTTTAAGCTGAAATGTGAATCATGATTAACCACCCATTTATGTCTGAAGCAGCATTTTTTTGAATTTTTGCAATCAGACCTTGGCGATGACCTTCAGCAGTAGGATATAAACCCACATGCTGAAGGTTCCAATAATGGAACTCTAGGCATAAATGTGTTTTAAGAGGTGGGGAGGCGTGATCCTTGGAGAGGCAACAGTTTGGGCTGAGGACTTTAATGGGAAAGAACTCAGAGATGGCCAGCAAGGATGCAGCAAGAATACAGGGCGGTATAAAATGAGTCTGGAGAGGAGGAGGGACAGGCCATGAAGAATTTTGTATGCTGTGTTAAGAGAGTGAAAATGCAGTAGCAGACGCTAATGTAGAAATGACACAGGGCATTGAATAAACATGGTGGAAGGAAAGATGGTAAATAATGAATGGGAAGAGAGAAGGATCCACAGATCAGTTTCAAAAGTGCTATGGAGGCTGGGTGCAATGGCTCATGCCTGTAATCCCAGCACTTTGGTAGGCTGAGGTGGGCAGATCGCTTGAGGTCAGAAGTTCAAGACCAGCCTGATCAACATGGTAAAACCTTATCTGTACTAAAAATACAAAAATCAGCCGGGCACGGTGGCATACACCTGTAGCCCCAGCTACTTGGGAGGCTGAGGCAGGAGAATCACTTAAACCTGGGAGGCAGAGGTTGCACTGAGCTGAGAAGGCACCACTGTACTCTAGCCTGGGTGACAGTGTGAGACTCTGTCTCCAAAAAAAAAAAAAAAAAAAAACCAGGCTGGTGGCAGGCGCCTATAATCCCAGCTACTTAGGAGGCAGAGGCATGATTCTTACGCCTGGGAGGTGGAGGTTGCAGTGAGCCAAGTTGCGCCACTGTACTCCAGCTTGGGTGACAGCAAGACTCTGTCTGGAAAAAAAAAAATGTGCTATGGAGTGAGCTGCTCTTCTGGCCGGCAGTGGTGGGTGGCATCAATTCATGCTGAGTCCTAGCTCTAGAAGCAGGAAGTAAGACCAGAGGACACCACTGAGAGATCATTAGCATTTCCACTGCATACTCTATTTGCAACTACCTTGTGATAACTAAAGTACCTAAGGCTTACAGAGCGAGCTGATAGATGGTACAGTCCCACTGTAAGTTACAGAAAACAGAATCTCAAAGTCTTTCTTCAAGTACACAGCCAGTCAGTGGCAGGTCAATAACTATGACTCTTACGTCTCTTTCCTTGAAGGCCAGTGTCACAGATCTGCCAATCCTTGTAGTATAATGTTATGCTGCCCTGCAATTATATGGTACATTTCTAGAGCTCCTGTAATCCTAAAGATTGATGCTTTATAAGACCTTTTATACTTGGTTTTAGGGTAAAGAGAGGGCCCCCAAAGATACTAGTTTTTTAGTTGTTTTGTTTTTTTTGAGATGGTGTCTCACTCTGTCGCCCAGGCTAGAGTGCCGTGGTGCGGTCTTGGCTCACTGCAACCTCTGCCTCCAGGGTTCGAGCGATTCTCCTGCCTGACACTCCCAAGTTGCTGGGATTACTGGCGCGCGCCATGAGGCCCATTGAATTTTTGTATTATTAGTAAAGACGGCGTTTCATCATGTTGGCCAGTTTGGTCTCAAACTCCTAACCTCAGGTGATCCACCCACCTTGGCCTCCCAAAGTGCTGGGATTACAGGTGTGAGCCACCGTGCCTGGCCCAGATATTGGTATTTTTCATTCCTGAGGATACTCAATTACAAAAATAACTTGGATCATAAATAAATGTCAAGGATTGCTTCTTTTATTTTTATTTTTTTGAGACAGAGTTTCGCTTGTTGTCCAGGCTGGAGTGCAATGGCATGATCTCAGCTCAATGCAACCTCTGCCTTCTAGGTTCAAGTGATTCTCCTGCCTCAGCCTACCAAGTAGCTGGGATTATAGGTGTTTGCCACCACGCCCAGCTAATTTTTTGTATTTTTAGTAGAGAAGGGATTTCATCTGTTGGCCAGGCTGGTCTCGAACTCCTGACCTCAGGTGATCCTCCAGCCTTGGCCTCCCAAAGTGCTGGGATTACAGGCATGAGCCACTGCACCCAGCCAAAGATTGCTTCTTACTCAGGTTTCTATCCTCTGCATAGCTGCTGGTTCACAATAGGTGCTCAATAAATGTTCATTCAAGTGACTGAACTGATCCCAATTCTAGTTTTAAATCTCAAGAGGGATCCTCTTGAAAACAATGACACCAATAGGTGACAGTAAGGCTCAAGTTTACATTCCAAACAATTATTTGTAATTGAGTCTAAATTTGTAATTTTTTTCCCCCGAGATGGAGTCTCGCTCTGTCACCCAAGTGGCACAATCTCAGCTCACTGCAACCTCTGCCTCCCAAGTTCAAGCAGTTCTCCTTCCCTCAGCCTCCCAAGTAGCTGGGATTACAGGCACCTGCCACCACGCCCAGCTAATTTTTGTGTTTTTAGTAGAGATGAGGTTTCACTGTGTTGGCCAGGCTGGTCTTGAACTCCTGACCTCAGGTGATCCAGCCGCCTCAGCCTCCCAAAGTGCTGGGATTATAGGCGTGAGCTACTGCGCCCGGCCCTTAGTGATTAGACTTTTTACTTCACTGCTGCCCTTTCTTCAAAGATTCTAAAACACTTTAACCTGACCTATCTATATTCCAGTTAGCAGTAAACATTTTCTTTGCTCTACTTACCTGGAAGATATCTTGATTGTTTCAAGTAGTACTGTTTAGAGGCTGGAGCAGTTGACAATTCGGAATCAGACTTTAGGGAAATAGCAGCAGGTAAGCTCTTGTTTTCCCCTAGTGAGTGGTTGGAGCCCGCAGGTGCCGGCTCTGGAAGCCTTGAAAGCCAATGAAAGGTAGCATTACAGCACGAACAACGAGTTCTCCCCTACCGTCTGCACAGCTCTCTACGCCAGTCAATCTGACCTCACATAAATGGTTTCCATCGGAGTCTTTTGGCTAACTGACAACTTCCCCTCCACCCCCGTAGATATTAGATCGTGCACAGAATCATTTCTGATACCAGATGATATGTGACAGGAAGCTTTATAACTGAGCAGCAGTCTACTTGTAGGTAATATGTTTCTAACTGTCCTGCAGCTGCTGCAGCTGGATTCATAATGTGGGGAGCTGGCGGGGTGAGAGGGAAATAATAGCCATCTTCGACTGTTGACTAAAATAATTTCAGTTAATGAGGTTGTTTGGAGCCTAAATAAACTGGTTTGGATGGCCTAAAAAACTGAAGTGGGAAAAGAAGTGCTTGAAAAACTCCCATATAAACTGGGCACAGAGGCTCATGTCTATAATCCCAGTACTTTGGCAGGCCGAAGTGGACGGATCACAAGATCAGGAGTTTGAGAACAGGAGTTTGACCAACATGGTGAAACCCCGTCTCTACTGAAAATATAAAAATTGGCTGGGCATGGTGGCCCATGCCTGTAGTCCCAGCTACTTGGGAGGCTGAAGCAGGAGAATTGCTAGAACCCAGGGGGCAGAGGTTGCCATGAGCCAAGATCATGCCACTATACTCCAACATGGATGATAGACCGAAACTATGTCTCAGAAAAAAAAAAAAAAGAATAAAAAAGCTCCCATGTAAGATTTCTAATTATCCCAGTGTCAGGCACAGAAAATAGGTATTTGTGGAGATATGCCTGTGTCTCAGTTGGCAGAATAGACTTATGCAGTGGCCAAGCACCTAGCTAGCTGTTGAGTGGTGTCAGTACTAAGACACCACTCCCACAGTCCTGTTTCTGTATTGGAACTGAGGACTTTCTTCCTCGAGGCTTAGTTCTGTCTCATTCCTGAGGCCTTTTTGACCAGGCAGCAGTGTGTGTGGCAGCCATTGCTACCAGAAGGGGAGACTGGAACTTGTTTTGCTGCCTGTCTGGGTGTGTCACAATGAGCCCTCCATGACTGACCTCCCCACCACCCTCTGACTGGGCAGCTTCCTTGCTGGGGCCTGAATATACTGCCCAACTTCCTTCCATCACTTGTTAACTTGAAGCGTTCATGGTTTCCACTCAGAAATTCATGCTACCATAACCTACTCACCAAGTCGATCCCCTTCGAAACGGACACTCCCTTGGGTGGCCCTTCAAACTGCTGGCCACCTGTTTGGGGGCAGTTCCAGGCACAGGTACATCTGCTTCAGGGAATTGTCCCACCATTTCTGGCATCTTTCCCTTCCCGAGCCCACTGCTGTTATATCACTCACTGAAATTCTACCCATTCTCGCCAGGCACAGCAGCTCACACCTGTAATCCCAGCACTCTGGGAGGCCGAGGTGGGCAGATCACCTGAGGTTGGGAGTTCAAGACCAGCCTGACCAACATGGAGAAACCCTGTCTCTACTAAAAATACAAAATTAGCTGGGTGTGGTGGTGCATGCCAGTAATCCCAGCTACTCGGGAGGCTGAGGCCGGAGAATCACTTGAACCCGGGAGGCGGAGGTTGTGGTGAGGTAAGATTATGCCATTGTACTCCAGGCCGGGCAACAAGAGGGAAACTCCATCTCAAAAAAAGAAAAGAAAAGAAAGAAATTCTACCCATTTTCAAAACTGTTCCCTCTAAAAAGACTTCTCTCTCCTCATCAGAGGGATCTCTGCCCAGAGACAAAACACCCAGAGCTTCTTGTAGCTCCGTCACTGGTGGCACTAAATACACACACGTCATGTGATATAATCCTCTGGAGGTCTTATTCTGTTGGTGTATATTTGATGAGTTGAGAAGAGGCTTAATACCAACTAGGTATTTAGTAAACACTTACTGAATATAAATACAAGTATAAATGTAAGTATAAATATCTTGCTTTTGTTCACTTTTAAGAAGACAACCAGCCATGGTGGCTCGTGCCTGTAATTCCAGCATGATTCTAAGTTTCCAGAAGCCCTTACCAGAGGCAGATGCTGGCACTAGGCTTCCTGTACAGCCTGCAGAACTGTGTGCCAACACATTCTTTACCACAATGCAAAAACGAACTGACATACTCTCTCTGCATGCACGTGCGCACACACACACACACGCGCGCACACACACACACACATGCACACACACACACATACCACCCCCCCCAACTAATCTGTTAATACTGAGAATTGTTACCATGAGAAGATTCTTACCTTTTTTTCAAAGGTATGCGGAAAGATATGTATCTTGTGGAAGAAACCAATATTAAGCAAACTTTTTTCTTTTTTTTTTAAGACGGAGTCTCACTTTCTTGCCCAGGCAGGAGTGCAGTGGTGCAATCTCAGCTCACTGCAACACCTCCAAGGTTCAAGCAGTTCTCATGGCTCAGCTTCCCGAGTAGCTGGGATTACAGGCATGCACCACCACGCCCATCTAATTTTTGTATTTTTAGTAGAGCCAGGGTTTTGCCATGTTGGCCAGTCTGGTTTCTACCTCCTGGCTTCCAGTGATCCACTCGCCTCAACCTCCCAAAGTGCTGGGAATACAGGCCTGAGCCACTGCGCCTGGCCTATTAAGCAAACTTTTTTTCATTTAAGGCCCAAGTGCATTTATGTTTAATGACAAAATAAAGTTGAAGCATGGCAAAAACATTTTTCTGAGGAATCTGAAATCTTACCGAAATGGAGAATCTTTCTTCCTTTTTTCTTTAAAAACACCCATGCTTGGCTTCTTGGAATGGGAGGCTCCAAAATCATAGTCCTCCAACTCTTCCCAGCTGTCTCCAGATTTGAAGATAGTCTGGCCCCAACGCCTCCTACCACTTTTATGATTCAGTGTGCCATTTGGCTTCTGTGGTGGAAAATCAGTTGTCATAATCTGTAATCATGTACTGAATGCCTTTCACGCACAAGCTACTCTATAAGACACTAAGAGTTCCCGTTCTCAAGGAGCATTCCATACACTTTAGGGCATACACATACACACATTTACAAGCATGAAAAAAATTGGGTGGTATATGCCAAAAACATGATAGGTGCTCAGAGGAGAGATCTCTGTGAACTGGGTTGGTGGGAGACTTGAATATTTAGGGTCTGAGTTAACTCTTTTAATGACAGGAAGGATCTGGAAACCTGATACTTGGCTATGTCTCTTTGGACAAGTGATTTCTCAAAGCCTTAGTGTCCTCTTTAAGTGGACAGCCTCAATGAGAAGGACACTAATGGTGGCATGTGCCAGAACATGCCATCTTTTACTCTTCCCTCTGCTAGAATGCAGGCACAACACCCAAAGGAACACCAGGCATCCTGTGGGCACAGGTATGAAAGTTACCTGCTCGGGGCAGCAGAGCGGGAAGCCAGCAGCAGCCTGCCTCCTCTGAAGCTGCATGAGCTCCAGCTGCCCACCACCCGATTTCTCATTATAAGAGAAAAACAACGCCTGTTGTTTAAGCCACAGTGGTCGAGTTTTTTTGTAAGTCTCAGAATGTAATCTTAATGAACACAGAGGGATGTATGAGTCTGGCACAGAATGGAGGCATCATTAACAGAAATAAGGAACAGGAAAGAGGTCTTGGCTTGGGGAACACAATGAATTTTTTTTTTTTTTTTTTTTTTTTTTTTTTTTTTTGAGGCAGAGTTTCGCTCTTGTTGCCCAGGCTGGAGGGCAATGGTGTGATCTCAGCTCATCGCAACGTCCGCCTCCTGGGTTCAAGTGATTCTCCTGCCTCAGCCTCTTGAGTAGCTGGGATTACAGGCATGCACCACCATGCCCGGCTAATTTTGTATTTTTTGTAGAGACAGGGTTTCTCTATGTTAGGCTGGTCTCGAACTCCCAAACTCAGGTGATCTGCCTGCCTTTGCCTCCCAAAGTGCTGGGATTACAGGCGTGAGCTACCACGCCTGGCCTGAATTGGTTTTATACAAATTTACAGAGAGTGGTTTAGGGGCAAATAAACAGAAAAACCCAAAAGGCAACTCAAAACTAGGGAACAGAGCATGGAAAATTTTCAGAAAACACTGGTACGTTGAGTGCAGGGAGATACTGAATGGCCATGCTATTGCTTGAAGCTGATGGTGTCACAGTGAGTGATGGATGATAATAAAAAGAAATATTTGTCAGCTTCTACACTATTATTTTCTCTGCCAGGCAGAACAATCTCCAGAATCAAGAGAATAAAAAAATGTTAAGCTCCAGATAAGTAGGATAAATGAAAGGTTACCCTTAGCTGAGTTTGAGTCTGCCTTCTGTTGAATTGTATTTTAGGGTACTGATGCTGAACACTGCTCAGCAATGTCAGTGATATCCAAGAACCTTGTGTGTCTGAGAAGAGTGGAAAGGGGCAAATATAATTTTAATAAAGTAGAAGATTTATTTTGGCAAATTCCACATCAGTAAGTTTGGTAGAGGATGAGGGCAAAGATTCTGAAATCAGTTATCAAAGGGGATGTTTGTGGGCACGAAAGGAAAACAGTGATAGCTCAGATAGATCACCCTTTTTCATAAAAGGCAAACAGTGAGTTCCTTTGATATAGTGTATGTGGACTTCAGGCCAGTAGGTGAAAGCAGCAAAGGGGGATCAGCACATAGCTGAAGAACTTGACCAAGAGTACTGATGAATGGATCAATGTCAATCTAGAGGAAGGTTCTATGCCCTGTCCAAGATCTCATGGTCGTTCTTTGTATACATTATGAAGATTCAGGAGCAAAACAGACAACTAAACAAATCCATAGCTGGCAACAAGCTGTGCAGAGTGGGCAAACTGAGAAGAAAAAAATTTTATTTCAAAAATAATTAGAAATTGGAGATGTAAAAGATCTTGCAACTTTTTGAATCCTAGAGATGAAATACACAAGTCAGAGGTACAGAATATGCGATTTAGAAGCATTTATGAAAAAATGGGTATACTTAGAAACTTTAGTTGACACAGTACTTAATCCCAGCTCTGAAACTTACCTATACAAAAATATGTGTGTGGGGGCACAGGGGAGGGTGGCTAGGTTATTCTCTTTAACTTAAGAGAATGCGCAGAGGGTGCCTACAATATGCATGGCACTTAGGAGCTACTCAATCAATATTAACTTCCTTTCCTTCCCTCACAGTATGAGTCAGCATTTGAAGTACTTTCCAAGGGGCTGGCGGGGAGGACGGTAATCGTTGGTGGCACATATTGTTTGGAATGTTGGAGGTGACTGATTAGTCCTGCTCTATACTCCCTGCTTGCTGTTTGTCTCCAGCTGCGGCAGCCACATTCTAAGTAGGAATGGGGATGAAAGGGGACTTAAAGGTTCATTTGTAACAGGAATTGCGAGTTATCAGTCATTGATGAAAGGTGTTAGATGCAGAGCCCTTGAGGTAATTGGAGATATTTCTCTAGAGAAAAGGGCAGATAATGTAACAGCTATTTTCAAATATGTAAAAGGCGGCCTTTCTAGAAAAGTGATTAGCTTTCACTAAAAGCAAGAAAACCAGATTTTGCCCAGTGTAAGGAAGAACTTTCTAATATGCAGAACTGTTCCAAAATAAAGTGGACTCCCCAGCACCCAAGAGGTGGTTTACAAGTCTTGTGGGCAATTAGTCATTCCTTCATTCACTGAACAAACATTCACTGAGAATCTCCCATGTGGCAGGCCCTGGTCAGGGTTCTGAGGCTATACTGATGAACAAAACAGACAGACATTCCTGATTTCCTTGAGCTTTCGTTCCAGAGGAAGAGACAAATAAACAATAAACATAAGAAATAAGTAATTAACACTACGTGAGAATGTGATTAGTGCTATTGGGGGAGGAGGAGACCTTGCTTATACTAGGTTGGTGGGGCAGGTGAGGACTGGATAAGGAGATAGATATGGTGCTGTGTAAGACAGATTTCCATTCTAAAATGCCATAATACGAACACAATCGGTAGTGTATACCCCAAGGGAACAGCTAAACTACTACAGCAACTGATGAGCTCCTGGAGCTGAACAAAAAAAAGACGAAAGAAGCTGTTTTATACTATACCTGACACTTTAAAAACCCATTCTCACTGGGCACGGTGGCTCATGCCTGTAATCCCAGCACACTGGGAGGCTGAGGTGGGCGGATCACCTGGAGTCAGGAGTTCAAGACCAGCCTGACCAACATGGTGAAACACTGTCTCTACTAAAAACACAAAAATAGCCAGGCATGTTGGCGCATGCCTATAATCCCAGCTACTTGGGAGGCTGAGGCAGGAGAATCGCTTGAACCCAGGAGGCGGAGGTTACAATGAGCTGAGATCATGCCATTTGTACTCCAGCCTGGGCAACAATAGTGAAACTCGACCTCAAAAAATAATAATAAAAATAAAAATCTATTCTCTCCATATTCTTTAGCATTTAAGAACACCGTGAAATGACAGTACTATTAAAAATTCTTAAGATTTAGGATCAGTACTTTGGAGTACCTGATTCTTTTAAATTCTTTGAATTTTTCTGCATTGAAAGAACTTTAGGCTGGGCTTGGTGGCTTACGCCTGTAATCCCAGCACTTTGGGAGGCCAAGATGGGTGAATCACCTGAGGTCAGGAGTTCAAGACCAGCCTGGCCAACATGGTCTCAATTAAAAATACAAAATTAGCCAGGCGTGGTGGCTCATGCCTGTAATCCCAGCTACTTGGGAGGCTGAGGCAAGAGAATCGCTTGCACCGAGGAGGTGGAAGTTGCAGTGAGCCGAGATTGCACCACTGCACTCCAGCCTGGGCAAATAGAATGAAACTCCATCTCAAAGAAAAAATAAAAAGGCCAGACATGGTGGCTCACACCTATAATCCCAGCACTTTGGGAGGCTGATGCAGGTGGAACACTTGGGGTCAAAAATTCAAGACCAGTCTGGGCAACATGGTGAAACCCCATCTCTACTAAAAATACAAACATTAGCTGGGGGCATGATAGGCAGACTCCTGTCTGTAATCCCAGCTACTTGGGAGGCTGACGTAGGAGAATCGCTTGAACCTAGTAGGTAGAGGTTGCAGTGAGCTGAGGTCCTGCCATTGCACTCCAGCCTAGGCAACAAGAGTGAAACTCCATCTCAAAAATAAAAATAAAAAAGACTGAAGACTGTAGCATGTAAACTTGGTTACTTTCATTCTGAAAGTTTTTCTTTTTTATAAACCATATTAGAATTTTAACTGATCTCATGTCAAGCTCCAACCAGAGGACTCAGTGTCTTTAACAAAGAATAATTGTTTATATCTTCTCCAACATAATTAGAAATGCCTCGAAACAAAATCTTAATTGCAGTAGTCAAACAATTCCATTTCAAGCGTCATGACTGGCTACTCACAGTTGGCATGTTTTTGATGATGCTTGGGAATAGCGTTTGCGGCGGTTTCTGCTGATTCTGTTGCTTTGGAGGTTGCTGGACACTCAGGTTCTGTGGCGGCTGAATGGGCTGCAGTGGCTGCTGGCTAGTTTTTGGTTGGGATTGTCCAACAGTCTGATCAATTACATCTGGTAGAGGCTTGGGCTCTACTTCAACTAAAGATGGCTTTGATTCTAATGGTTGCAGCTGCTTATTTAAAGACTCTTTTGATTCCAGATGATTTGAGGAAGGGCCTAATACCTGACCAACTTGAAAATATGGGTGTTTCAATGCCTATAAAAACATAGAATAACAACAAATGGAAAATGGTTCCACCTAAATGTATTGCACATAAACTATGATTGGCCCTTTGTGAGGGCCACAGGAGCTATCATTAGCCCACAGGCGCTTCCAAGATTTAGAAAGAAGCCATCACTCCCTATACAGTACCCCTTTTAAAAGGTAACCAGAAAAAAAAAGATTTGAGAAATAAATTGTACTAAAAAATCAAAAGTGGCTGACGCCTGTAATCCTAGTACTTTGGGAGGATGAAGCAGGTGGAACACTTGCGGTCAAGAGTTTAAGACCATCCTGGCCAACATGGTGAAACCCCGTCTCTACTAAAAATACAAAAATTAGCTGGGCATGGCGGCATGTGCCTATCGTCCCAGTTACTCGGGAGGCTGAGGCAGGAGAATCACTTGAACCCGGGAGGCAGAGGTTGCAGTGAGCTGAGATTGAGCACCACTGTACTCCAGCCTGGTGACAGAGCAAGACTCAATCTCAAAAAAAAAGAGTCTACTATGAGATGCCTTTTTGCTACCCATGACAGATTCCTGCATAACTAGTCTGTCACATGTCTGAATTTTTATCATTGCAAACTGATTCCTCGTTGCAACCTCAGGGTTCCTCATTTGAACCACAAAACACAGAAAATCATTGGTGTAGCTATTTTTACATTTCTCCCAAGGATCTTCTATGCCTGTAAATTAATTTATGACATACATTGTATGCCAAGGGCTTTGTGATTAATTCTCTTAGTAAAATCCTGGTTGAGAATAGCCTTTGTAAATGAAAACATCCCTGATATTAAAAAACCTGAAAGATGTAAAAGGTCTAACAGGAAGACTCATCTTACCTGACTTGCTGTTGGTCGTTTCTTTGGATCCCAATTCAGCATTTCAGTCATGAGCTGAATAGCTTCATTACTGGCGTTGGGAATCAGAGTTTTCAAGTTTATAGGAACACACTGGGGAAAACGGAAGTTCATAGAAGATGCCAGCTGGTATCCTTCTGGCCAGTCGCTCTGTTTCAGGAATATGTAAGTGTGGGTGGGGAGAGCAAAACAAACTGCTTTTAGTAATCCATTTAAAAAAACACAGCAGTAATATAAACATCATTTATGTTTGAACATTTTCATGTTGATCCATATAAATAAACATGAGAATAAAATACCAGTCCAGGTCTAGAATTCAGTGCTATAACAGTATAGAAAAAAACATTAAGCTGAGAGTTAGGAAACAATGTGAAAAGCACTTTTATAAACTTTTTTTTTGTTTTTGAGATAGGAGCTGGCTCTGTCATCCAGGCTGGAGTGCAGTGGTGCAATCACGGCTCACTACAGCCTCACCCTCCGGGGCTCAAGAGATCCTCCCACCTCAGCCTCCTGAATAGCTGGGACTATAGGTGCGCACCATCATACTGGCTAATTTTTTTTTTGTATTTGTATTTTTTTGTATTTTTGATTAGAGGCATGAGCCACCGTGCCTGCCCTTTATAAATTTAACGGTATTAAACTCTTGTCTGGTTTTTGATCCTGATGGTGATGCTGCTGTGATGATATCTGGGCTAACTCTGAACAAATAAGGAAAAGTGCTTTACAAAGAGGCTGATTGCTAACAAAGATCTCTGTATATACTATATATCACAGCCAGTGTTAAAAATGTACACATCTGGGAAATGACAATTACATTAAAGCTTTAATATCTACATTACTTGTGTAATGTTAACTACAAGGCACATACTAATTTAATTAGGATGTCATTATATACACACTTATAAAGCACATCTCAGAAAGTAAGGTATAGATAAAATAATTAATTATAGTTTATTGAAAAGTATTCAGTTCAATAAGTCAAATGTCCATAGGTGAGATATACAGAAAGAAACAAGAAAGGGTTAAGAAAAAATAAGGTTCACCACACCAGGGGTTAACAGTTGATGTCAATGGCCAGCCACAGAATGAGTAGGAGAGAGCCCAAGTAAGGCTGTCTGTACAGTGTCAGCTGGGCATCACCCCCAAGTAATACTCTAACCATACAGAATTTTTCTTTAAGTTCTTAAGAAAAGGCAAGCACCTGTTTTTCTTTTCTTTTTTTTTTTTTGAGACAGAGTTTCACTCTTGTTGCCCAGGCTGGAGTGCAATGGTGTGATCTTGGCTCACTGCAACCTCTGCCTCTGGGGTTCAAGGGATTCTCCTGCCTCGGCCTCCCAAGTAGCTGGGATTACTGGCACCCACCACCATGCCCAGCTAGTTTTTGTATTTTCAGTGGAGACGGGGTTTCATCATCTTGGTCAGGCTGGTCTCGAACTCCTGACCTAAGGTGATCTGCCCACCTTGGCCACCCACAGTGCTGGGATAACAGGTGTGAGCCACCGTGCCCGGCTTAAGTACCTGTTTTTCTTCAGCTGGTGGGATCCTGGCTTCTTGCAATCCTTAACCCACTCTGATTAAAAAAATAAGGATTATGGCCAGGCGCAGTAGCTCACACCAAGTAATCCCAGCACTTTGGGAGGCTGGGGTGTGCAGATCATATATTACTTGAGCTCAGGAGTTTGAGACCAGCCTGACCAATATGGTGAAACCATCTCTACTAAAAATAGAAAAATTGACCAGGTGTGGTGGCCACATGCCTGTAATCCCAGATACTCAGGAGGCTAAGGCAGGAGAATCGTTTGAACCTGGGAGATGGAGTTGCAGTAAGCTGAAATTGTGCCACTGTACTCTAGCCTGGGAGACTGAGTGAGACTCCATCTTAAAAAAAAAAAAAAAAAGGATTATAGGAAAATTAATCATTAAAGTATGAGCCTATTTCAAAATGAAAATACCAGATATCTAGGCAAAAGTTATAAATAATGAAAAATTACAAAATTAAAAGCAAAGTAGCAAGTTAGAAATAATCAAAAGTTATAGCAACTTTGGGACAAGAGTACTTACCTTTTTGGGAGTCCCTAAAACTTGGCAAATTTTAAAGATTTCATCAACCTCACTTGTCCCTGGGAAAAGTGGCCTTAACATATAGAGTTCAGCCATGATACTTCCAACAGCCCACACATCAATGGGAGAGCTATACACGGAAGATCTCAGCAAAACTTCAGGAGCACGATACCTAAGAAAACAGAAAACAAAACAAAAGAAGTTATTTTGATTGCAATTTCAAAGGTGGATGGGCAGTAGCAGTCTACTCTGGTGATGCATTTCCATCAGAGTAGGTATTCAGATCCTGTTCCTTCTGTGTGTCAGTCATTTGTACAATGTTCTAGGGGCAATAGGACATAACACATGTTCTCTGACCACAGACAATGAATGGGGCTGGCGACAAATGTGAACGAAATGTCCATGAAGCCCAAGACAGGAACTCAAATGAATAGATATGCAAATAAGTGGAAATAAGTGCTATCTGATATATTAAGAAAAAAAAAAATAGGCCAGACGAGGTGGCTCACACCTGTAATCCCAGCACTTTGGGAGGCTGAGGCGGGTGGATCATGAGGTCAAGAAATCAAGACCATCCTGGCCAACATAGTAAAACCCCATCTCTACTAGAAATATAAAAATTAGCCAGGCATGGTGGCGTGCACCTATAGTCCTGGCTACTTGGGAGGCTGAAGCAGTAGAATTGCTTGAACCTGGGAGGCAGGGGTTGCAGTGAGTCAAGATCTGGCAACTGCACTGCAGCCTGGTGACAGAATGAGGCTCTGTTTCAAAAAAACAAACAAGCAAACAAACAAACAAAACAAAAGAAAGAAAAGAAGTAGAAAAACCATGTTGTAAAGCATTATATTCAGCATCTATTCACCATGAAGCACAGAAAACAAAAGATGAACAAGGATTAGCCCTGAGTAGTGGAGTTTTCTCTTCTTTTTACCAGTTTGAAAGTGCTGAAATCCTCAGTGGACTCGTCTTCTGTGGTCAACAATATTTTTCATTGAGAAAAATACTCAATTTACAAGAGCAAAGTGAGCTGGTGAGTCCAACACAGAGTCTGCTAAATGGAAGATACTCTCAATTTCTCAATTTTAACTCTTTTTTTCTAACCAAAATGTATAGCTATTTCAGTCCAAATGTTTGGCAGTACTGACTAGTTTTGTTCAATGTCATTTCATTGTAACATTGATGAGAGAGAGAGAAAGTAAGGGAAGGGAAGGAGGAAGGGAAGGAGGTAGGGAAGGGAAGGAAGGAAGGAAGGAAAGGAAAAAGGGAAGAAAAGAAAACAGATTCCTGATAGGGCCACTGTGTGGGGTCTGCATGTTCTCTCCAAGTCTACATGGCTTTTCTCCAGGACTCCAGCGTCTTCCCATATCCCAAAGATGTGCATGTCAGGTGAACTGGGGTGTCTGTGTGGTTCCAGGATAAGTAAGTGTACGTGTGTGTGTGGGGGGGGTGCTGCCATGGGAGGCTGTCCCATCCACAGTTGGTGCTCACCTTGCACTCCCAGCTGCCAGGACACACTGTAGCCACCTGTGACCCTGAACTGGAATAACTGGGCAAATACTTACCTTCCTTGTTTCTATTAATCTTTCTTTTTTTTTTTTTTTTTTTTTGAGACAGAGTCTTGCTCTGTTGCCAGGCTGGAGTGCAGTGTGGTGCAATCTCGGCTCACTGCAACCTCCACCTCCCGGGTTCAAGCGATTCTCCTGCCTCAGCCTCCTGTGTAGCTGGGACTACAGGCGCACCATGCCTGGCTAATATTTGTATTTTTAGTAGAGATGGGGTTTCACCATGTTGGTCGTCATGGTCTGGATCTCTTGATCTCATGATCCTCCTGCCTCAACCTCCCAAAGTTCTGGGATTACAGGCATGAGCCACGATGCCCGGCCTTAATCTTTCTTAAATGTATGGATAGCTCACAGGTATTCAGTGTTCAATATTAGTGTCTTGGTCACTAGAAGTTTGGCCTGGGCGCGGTGGCTCACGCCTGTAATCCCAGTTCTTTGGGAGACCGAGGTGGGCAAATCACGAGGTCAGGAGTTTGAGATCAGCCTGGCCAACATGGTAAAATCCTGTGTCTACTAAAAATACAAAAAATTAGCTGGGTGTAGTAGCAGATGCCTATAATCCAAGCTGCTCGGGAGGCTGAGGCAGAAGAATCGCCTGAACCCAGGAGGTGGAGGTTTAGTGAGTTGAGATCACACCACTGCACTCTAGCCCGGGTGACAGAGTGGGACTCTGTCTCAAAAAATAGAAATAAAAAAAGAAGTTTGGTGATTTTTTTTGACCAGAAACGTGCCTAAAATTGTTTATTTTAATTAGCGCCTGGTCGAATTGGTTTCATTATACGTTGTTTCACTTAAAGTCATAGTTTCCAAGAACCTATTGATGTTAGGTGAGGACTTAGTGTACTTTCTTTGACAAATATTTTTACAAGCTTTATTGATATATAAGTCACATAATATACAGTTGATGTATTTAAAGTGTACATCACACTACTTTCTCCTGGGGGGCCTCCACGTGTCTTCCTGCGTCTGTCCCTGTGTCTGTCTTCTTATGAGGACGTCAGCCTTACTGGATGAAGACCAATCATGTTCCGGTATGACCTCATCTTAGCATGATTACATCTGCAAAGACCCCATTTCAAAATAAGTTCACATTCCCAGGTAACCAGGGCAAATCTGTCACGAAAGGCTTGGTGCTGTTTTTACGTAGTGAATAAGTTCTTTTTCAGGCAAGATGAGATTCGTTCCTGAGAGAGGGGCTGCTCCACAGCAAGCTACCTCCTCTTTTTTTGTTCCTTCTTCCAACGTGCCCATTTCCTCTTTGACCTTCTCCTTTTTTTTTGAGATGGAGTTTTGCTCTTGTTGCCCAGACTGGAGTGCAATGGCACGATCTCGGTTCACTGCAACCTCCACCTCCCGGGTTAAAGCAACTCTCCACCTCAGCCTCCTGAGTAGCTGGGACCACAGGCACCTGCCACCATGCCCAGCTAATTGCTGTATTTTTAGTAGAGTTGGGGTTTCACCATCTTGGTGAGGCTGGTCTCAAACTCCTGATCTTCTGATCCACATGCCTTGGCCTCCAAAAGTGCTGGGATTACAGTGCGAGCCACCGCACGTGGCCACTATCCTTTTACGGCACAGATTAGTTTTCTCCGTTTTTGTAATTTACAGAAATGAAATCAGACAGTATGTACACTTTTTCTGTTTGGCCTCTTGCTCTCAACATTAAGATTCATTCACATTGTGCATGCAGTTGTAGACCACTCATTCTCATTGTTGCAAAGCATTCCACTGGGTGAGTATACGATGCTGCTGTTTATGGACATTTGGGTAGTTAGTGTGCAGTTGAGATTATTCATGTCTTTGGTGAACATGTGTATGTCTTTCTGTTGATGATTTGTGTATTGGCTGTCATGTAAGCAGCATGAAGCAGAGATTTTTCTTTTATTTTTTTATTTCACTGCTGTGTTCTCTGTGCCTAAAATGATGTTTGGCACATAATAGGTGTTCAACAAATATTTGTTGAATGAATGAATGAATAAATGAAATTCTTTTTCCTTGTTTTTTCAGTAATCAGAATAGCAATAAACCAATCCTTCAATCTCTTTAAAGAACATAAAATTCAGTTCTATATTCTGTTTTAAATATTCAATATGGAACCTCCAGACATCTGTAAGAATCCATTGTAGGAACATAGACTTCAACATAGACTTATGCCTTAGGAGAATCACGTAACACTACTCACCATCTAGTAGAGACATAATCAGTGTACGGTGGCTGTGACCTTAATTCTCTTGCAAGTCCAAAATCAGCAATTTTCACAAGTTCTGGACCCATACAAAGCAAGTTTTCTGGTTTCATGTCCCTATGAAAAAAGCCTTGGTGATATATAGAGAAAAAAATATAATAAATCATTATGCTTAAACATAGCTTTATTTGATTTATAAACAAAATATAAATGAACCCCTCTTTTACAGTTAGAAACATCATCTTAGAAAAAAAGTAAACTGGCCAGGCATGGTGGCTCATGCCTATAATCCCGGCACTTTGGGAGGCTGAGGTGGGTGGATCTCTTGAGGTCAGGAGTGCAAGACCAGCCTGGCCAACATGGTGAAACTCTGTCTCTACTAAAAATAACAAAAAATCAGCTGGGCATGGTGATGAACGCCTGTAGTCCCAGCTACTCTGGAGGCTGAGGCAGGAGAATTGCTTGAACCCAGGAGGTGGAGGTTGCAGTGAGCTGAGATCACGCCACTGCACTCTAGCCTGGGCGACAGAGCAAGACTCTGTCGCAAAGAAAAAAGTAAACCATATTTATTGTCTAAGAAGTAATGGGATGTAGGGGCCCTGCTTTTTTTTTTTTCTTTCTTTTCTTTTTTTTAGAGACAAAGTCTCACTCTGTCGCCCAGACTAGATTGCAGTGGTGTGATCTCAGCTCACTGCAACCTCTGCCTCCCGGGTTCAAGCAATTCTCCTTCCTCACCCTCCAGAGTAAATGGGATTACAGGTGTCCACCACCATGCTTGGCTAGTTTTTTTATTTTTAGTAGAGATAGGGCTTCGCCATGTTGCCCAGGCTTGTTTGGAACTCCTGACCTCATGATCCACCCAACTCAGCCTCCCAAAGTGCTGGGATTATAGGCATGAGCCACTGTACCCAGCCGGGGCTGGGAAGACTTTCTAAGCCTAAAAGTTTTTCATCACTTCAAAGTCTGAGTGGACTCTGTTTGTGACATCTGTAACAGTTCTGTAATCTGAGTTTATGCAGTACTTCTAACTACGAATAGCTGGTAACATCCATTTCACTATGTCCAAGAGACATTCATTGTACTTTTGTAATGTAATGACAGGAATGGGACCATGTGATGCAGAGTGGAGTGACACTAATCCATAACGTCTAAGGGAACTAAATCAATTACATATTTGTACAGCTGTGGTTTTCCCCACCCTAATATAAATATATTGGTAATTCAGTCCTATTTGAAGTAAACATTAGTTTCATTTTTTGACAGCAACAATTTTATGTATGTATGTATGTACAGTATGTATTTGAGACAAAGTCCTGCTTTGTTGCTCAGGCTGGAGTGCAGTGGTGCAATCTCGGCTCACTGCAACCTCTGCCTTTTGGATTTAAGCGATTCTCCTGCCTCAGCCTCCAAAGTAGCTGAGATTATAGGCGTGTGTCACCATGCCAGGCTAATTTTTATATTTTTAGTAGAGACAAGTTTTGACCATGTTGGCCAGGCTGGTCTCTTAACTCTTGACCTCAAGTGAGGTCTCCCAAAGTGCTGGAATTACAGGTGTCAGCCATCACACCAGGCCAAACAACTACTTAAAAATATCTATTTTCTTGAAGTATTACATCTGAGATGCTTAATTCTACAGCAAGAATTATTGGCTTTTGTGAAAATGTTGAATTATCCTTACACGTTGGCTTATTTGGCTTTTGTGAAAATGTCGAATTATCCTAACAGCCTGGTTTCCCAAATTACTCTGTAGTCAACTATACAGTCAACTCTTGATTACTTACATGTTATTTACTTTCAGTCACAATTTAAAAATCCTAATAGAACTTCCTCCTTCAATCACTTATGTTTTAGATGTTGCTAACAGCATAAATCAACTCAGGCAAATATCAAGTTTATGATGAGTTTAAAACAATTAAAAATCAGGAATCCATTATGAATAATTAAAATAGCAGATATCCCTTATTTCCATGTAGTTAATACATTACTGATCTTTCCCAATAAAATACAGTATATCATTACAGGATTTAGACTTTTAAAAGACCCCAATAATTTATATGACACAAATAAAAAGTTTTTTTTTATGTTCTTAAAACATTTTTTAAGTGTTCTTTTAATAAGTTTAAGAAGTGTTCTTAAAATATTTATATGGAATCCTGAATAGCAGTTTTGGAAGGTAAATAATTCCTGTGTCAGTTAGAGGATAAAGTAAAAAAAGAAAATATAAAATATAGGATGAGGCCTGGTATGGTGGCTCATGCCTGTAATCCCAGCACTTTGGGAGGCTGAGGATGGAGGATCACTTGAGCCCAGGAGTTTAAGACCAGCCTGGGCAACATGGTAAAACCTCATCTCTACATAAAATAAAAAATTAACTGGGTGTGGAAGCATGTGCCTGTAGTCCCAGCTACCAGGGAGGTTGAGGTGGGAGGATCACCTGAGCCCAGGAAGCTGAGGCTGCAGTGAGCCAGGATGGCACCACTGCACTCCAGTCTTGGCATCACAGTGAGATTTTGTCTCAAATAATGATAATAATAAAATTAAATACAGGATGAGACATAAAAGGAACCTGATGGTGATTTTTAAGTGCCTATGTTCAGAATACAGCAATGGTATGGGACAGACTTTTCTAATTTAATATCTAAACATCCAGCGATTCTAAACAAATGTTTTTTAAAAATAATCATAATTTTTTGGACTAATAATTATTTTGGTTTGATGGATATGAAAAAGCTACATTAATCAAAGTACATAAATAAGAAATTCATAGAAAACAGAACAAGTATTAATACTTGCTTTAATTTCATTCAGAGAATAGAAACAACTAAATGTAAATACTAAGGAAAACTATAAAACACTATTCCATGGGTGCTACAAACTATTTAAATGTTAATAATTGGTCGTGCTATATCAAAACAGTCTAATCTTTTTCCAAAAGAGGGTCCTTTGTTTTTTTTCATTTTCACGATAAAATTAGGGGGAATGAGGTTGCAGGATGGGTTATGATGATTGAGGCTAAAGGCTGATGATGATTAAACTGGTAAAAAAAATTCTGCTCTGGTGGAAGATAATTATAGATTATAGAAATTCCCATTTATTTATTTATTTGAGAAGGAGTTTTGCTCTTTTTGTCCAAGCTGGAGTGCAATGGGGTGATCTCAGCTTGCCTCAACCTCTTCCTCCTGGGTACAACCTATTCTCCTGCCTCAGCCTCTCAAGTAGCTGGGATTTCAGGCGAGTGCTACCATGTCTAGCTAATTTTTTATATTTTTAGTAGAGACAGGGTTTCACCATGTTAGGCAGGCTGTCTCGAACTCCTGACCTCAGGTTGATCCACCTGCCTTGGCCTCCCAAAGTGCTGGGGTTACAGGCGTGAGCCACCAAGCCTGGCATTTTTTTTTTTTTTTTTTTTTTTTTTTTTTGAGATGGAGTCTCACTCTGCTTCCCAGGCTGGAATGCAATGGCTCGATCCCGGCTCACTGCAACCTCCATCTCCTGGGTTCAAGCAATTCTCCTGCCTCAGTCTCCCTAGCAGCTGGGATTACAGGTACACCACCATGCCTGGCTACTTTTTTTTGTACTTTTTTAGTAGAGACGCAGTTTCACCATGTTGGCCAGGCTGGTCTCAAACTCCTGATCTTAGGTAAACTAACTGCCTCGGCTTCCCAAAGTGCTGGATTACAGATATGAGCCATCACACTTGGCCAGAAATTCCATTTTATATAGAATCACAGAAATTCTCAAATTTTTAAATAAAAATGTCAGTGTGTATAGGCACATACCCCAAATTTGTATTTCTCCAATATAGCAGTTATTTAACAGTTTAATATGTAATTTCTATGCACAATCTTGACAGTAATCTAAAGAGGTAGGGAAATGAAACTTAAAAGAAACCTACCATGTTTATGGATAAAAGCCAGCCCTTGCAGTATCTGATACATAATATTTCTGATGACTGACTCAGGGAACAACTTGTTTCTGTAAAGAAAGTGAACAAACAGTCACATAATTCTGTTAACCAACCAACCAATCCAAAGAAGGTTTATATTCCCCCTGCCTTGGAGTCTCTGTTGGCCTCGTGATACTGGTTAAAGGTATGATTTATGGATTTACAGTGTGAAAGCTCATACATTTAATACATGAAAATTAGATTTTTTTTGTTTGTTTTGATGTGTGGTAAAAACTCAAATCCTAAACTGAATGTATTGCATACATATTAAATAGCTAAATTTTAAACTGTCCCAAGAAGAGTAAAGCAAGTTGAAAAACAGAATTACTAACAGATAAGCCAAGCTTGCAAATCTGTATTACGTAGGCTTTAAGAATTTTAGAGGTGGCTGGGTGCAGTGGCTCATGCCTATAATCCCAGCATTTTGGGAGGCCAAGGTAGGAGGATTGCTTAAGCTCAAGAGTTTGAGACCAGCCTGGGCAACTTGGTGAAACCTTGTCTCTACAAAAAAATACAAAAATTAGCCAGGTGTGGTGGCACACACCTGTAGTCCAGCTGCTGGAGAGGATGAGATGGGAGGATCACTTGAGCCTGGGAGTTCGAGGCTGCAAGGAGCCATGATTGTGCCACTGTACCCCAGCCTGGTGAAGGAGTGAGATCCTGTCTCAATAAATAAATAAATTTAGAGGTGTAAATAAATGCGTCAGTTCTATTCCACATATTGGTGTTGTCCAGTAGAAATATAAGAGCCGGCTGGGTGCAATGACTCATGCCTGTAATCCTAGCACTTTGGGAGGCTGAGATGGGTGGATCATCTGAGGTCAGGAGTTCAAGAGCAGCCCAGCCAACATGGTGAAACCCCATCTCTACTAAAAATATAAAATGAGCCGGGTGTGATGGCACGTGCTACTAAGGAGGCTGAGGCAGGAGAATCACTTGAACTCGGGAGGTGGAGGCTGCAGTGAGCCAAGATTGCACCACTTCACTCCAGCCTGGGCAAAAGAGCGAGACTCCATCTCAAAAAAAAAAAAGAAAGAAAGAAAAGAAAAAAAGAAATACATGAGAGCCACTTGTGTACTTAACATTTTTCTAGCAGCCATGTTAAAAGAAATCAAACAGATAAAATTAATTTTTAACAATATATTTAATTTAACCTAATATATACCAAATACTATTCCAACATGTAATCAATATAAAAATTATCTAACTGCACCACTGCACTCCAGCTTGGGTGACAGAGCAAGACTATGCCTCTAAAAAATTTTTTATTATAAAAGTTATTCATTTAAAAAATTTTACCTTTTAAATTTTTTAGAGGCATAATCTAAATATATATTATATACTATAATTACCAACCTATTTTACCACTGATGTTATTTATTTTAAATAGTTCAAAACTATTGAACATTTCTCACTTTAAAAGCAGGCAAAATAGACGTTTATCCCCCAGATGTGACCAAAACCACCACCAAAACATTATCTCCCCAAGCCCAGGGCGGAGGACCAAAGCTCTCCCTTTACAGATTCTGCCCACACATTTAAAAATTGTGAATTTCCTTGGAATTGGTAACACATCAAGTATTATCACTGACTTGTGCCTTCCAGTGAATGAGTTTCTTACATCTTTTCTTGAAAGGAACTTTATTCCTTTCTCCAGTCTTTCATTAACCTCCACGAGATGCTTGGGAGAGCAATGAAGATAATTTTCTCAATAGTGCCCAAGCCAGCTTTGTTACTGAGTACTAAACTGTATATGTTTGTATTTTAAAAAGCATAAATAGATAGTATTTGTATATATATGAGACACCGGCCTTGACTTTTAAGGATTTACAACAGAAATGGTGGCTATGTGACAGCTGGTTCTTCTTCAGTGTTAAATGTTACCCTTTGATAAAGATAACAGAAGTAGTTAATTTAAATTTACCTTTCGGAGTGATCAATCTTCATATCCTAAAGTACTGACATACTGAAAGGATCCAAAGAACTCATGGAGAGAATAACAGGGAAGAAAGTGAATAAAAACATACCTGTCTTTCATTAATTGATAGAGGTTTTCTTTCATATATTCAAATATGAAATAAAGATGGTCATTTTCTCTGATAACTTCTTTCAATTTAATAACATTAGCATGATTAAGTTTCTTCAGAGACTGAAAAATAACAAATATGAATTAAAGTTTCTTAAAAAAACTTATAGAAGTTGGCAAAATCTCATCAATGCTAAGTTTGATAATTACCTTAAGTAATTTTCCATTTTGCCTGGGTTCATTAATTAATAACATTTTAATATCTACATAATTGCTTTAAGTAATGAAAGTTAAGTGCAAACAATAAACCAAGCTAACAATAGGTATCAAACATTTCAATCTGTTACATTTTTCCCTTGGTTTATTAAATAGGTCTAACTTTTGTCTGACTTAACCATGCAAAGGTATCCAAAATGGTATCCAAGTCTTTAAGCATCAAATCTAAGGAAATGGTATGTAATAATTTAAAAACTTGTCTTTTGGTGGCTGGGCATGGTGGCTCATGCCTGTTATCCCAGCACTTTGGGAGGCTGAGGTGGGCAGATCACCTGAGGTCAGGAGCTCGAGACCAGCCTGGCTAACATGGTAAAACCTTGTTTCTACTAAAAGTACAAAAATTAGCTGGGCATGGCAGCACACACCTATAGTCCCAGCTACTCAGGAGGCTGAGGTAGGAGAATCGCTTGATCCCAGGAGGCAGAGGTTGCAGGGAGCTGAGATCACGCCACTGCACTCCAGCCTGGGTGACAGACTAAGACTCTGTCTCAAAAAAAAACAAAACAAAAACAAAAAGACAAAAATTCTTTGGAGAATATGATTTAAGATGCTCTTTTAAAAGTGAGAGTGAACTTTGAAATGTGAGAATATAATCATATGCTATTCTACACTGACATCAGAACCAGAAGAAATGAGAAATTAATTTAGAATATAAAGGAAAAACAAATACAATTATCTTGAGAATGCTTCCCACAGAGAATAAAACAATCTTAACTAAAAATAATCTTAACTACTGTCCTCAGGCCTCAGACAGAGTTAAAGCCCTTCTCAGGTTCTTTTCATCTTTAGGATTTTACCTTAACTTCTCTCAAGTTCATACATTCATCCCAAGAATAGAACTTTCTCTTCATCCTAAAATAAATAAAGGAGAAGTTTAGTGTTCAGGGAATTGAGGATTGAAAGACACAGATTACACTGTTGGCTTTCTTACTGGCCTTGGTTCACTCTGGGCGAGCTATCTCCTTCCTCATCCTTACAAGGAAATCACTTCCTTCTGTGTATCTCAAGGCTACATCACATCCAAAATTCAGCTTTAACACAAAAGTGACAAAATTATCATTCATCTTCCTTTCTGGATGAGTTCTGAACAGTTCTCTCGATAAGTTTAACTGTGCCTTTCTTAAAGGGTCCCTTCCAAGTTCCTCCTATTTTAGAACTTAAGAGATAAACATGAAACACTATACCTCAGAGGGTGTTAGGGAAAGAAATCACAAATTTGGGGCAAATTTTGTCAAATAATTTCATCTAATAACTTGCATATCATGACATCAGCTTTAGACGAGAGGCCCATAAAGTTAAAGATCTCCCTACTTAAATGATTTAAGTCGGCAAAAAATCAGAAGTAACTATAAACGTTAGAAATGGCTTTCTTGAATTTTGTTCTTTACTTCCCCTCTTTTATCCCAGCGTTGGTTTCTATTAGAGATAAATGTACCAAAAGTGTATTTAGGGTTAAAAAGTATTTCCACTATATGCACCATAGTTACTTGATGTGTTTTGATATGAACATGTGTTTTTATACGAACAGATTTTTAGTCACCATACAAAACAGGATAAAAAGCAGGATTCATATGCTAAAAAATATTTTTTCAGGTATGGAAATTACAAGGCTGGACTGTTAAAAAGAACCAAATATGCCACACTGCTTTCATTTAGTATTATAATCTCCTACTGAGATGTCCCAGAAGATCCTTGGGAAGCTTAGAGTTGTCTTTATTAATTAGAATAATCCTTATGATCCAGAGGCTCCAGGGGGTATAATACACAAATGAGGCAACGAGTAAAAACTGGCAGCACAACATCACAGTCAAGAACAGAGGCTGCAGAACAGCCCTGCCTGGATTCAAATCCTTGCCCCGTCACTCACAGCATGACTTTGGACAAGTTACCTAATGATTTGTCTATGCCTCAAATTCGTTAGCTAGACATACAGTAGAAACTGCTGCGTAACAAAAGCTTCTTGCAAACTGCTTAGTTCAGCACTCACTAACTACCAGATGGTTTCATTTTTACCAATATCCATGACTGACTGTAAGACAACTGTAAAGGGCATTACTGCTATTATTTCCAAAATATCTCGAGTGAATCAGAATTTCATTTGCAGTTATTCAGGTACTAGAAATTTGTGAAGAAGTGTGATGAAATAGGGATCACTAGCTTATTGAAAGATACTTTTCAGTGCTATAGATTTATAAAATGTCTTGCTAAAATGTAAAATGTAAATCTAGCACAATGATGAACTTAAAACAAGTCAAGTATAGCTATAAAAAAGTTGATTAATAAAATGATCATATCCATGTGAAATTGCACATATAATCTATGAGTTTTTCTTTCTTTCTTTCTTTCTTTCTTTTTGAGACATGGTCTCATTCTGTCGCTTAGACTGGAGTGCAATGGTGTGATCATGGCTCACTGTAGTCTTGACCTCGTGGGCTCATGTGATCCTCCCACCTCTGCCTCCTGGGTGGCTGGGACTATAGGTATATGCCTCCACACCCAGTGCATTTTTGTATTTTTTGTAGAGATGGGGTTTTACCATATTGATCATACTAGTCTCAAACCACTGGGCTCAAACAATCTGCCCACCTCAGCCTTCCAAAGTGCTGGGATTACAGGCATGAGCCACCACACCTAGCCTGCTATGATGCTTCAAATATAATTTCAGAATTTTATTTTATTTTTGAGATGCAGTCTCGCTCTGTCACCCAGGCTGGAGTGCAATGGCATGATCTCAGCTCTGCAACCTTTGCTCCCCCAGTTCAAGTGATTCTCTTGCCTCAGCCTCCCAAATAGCTGGGATTACAGGTGCCTGCCACCATGCCTGGCTAACTTTTGTATTTTTAGTAGAGACGGGGTTTCGCCATGTTGGCCAGGCTGGTCTCGAATTCCTGACCTCAGGTGATCTGCCTGCACCGGCCTTCCAGAGTGCTAGGATTACAGGCATCAGCCACCATACCCAGCCTAGGAATTTATTTTTCATTTTAGGGGAAAAGTATCAATGGATCTTAAAGTGTTACCTAACAAGTTGCAGCTAGAATATTTATGGCCTAAATTGGAAATGCCTAAAATTTTATATCACCAAGCAAAAGATTGATTGGATATTATGGGATGTGAATGGTTTTGGTAACAAACAAACAAAACAACGAGAATGGAGAATGAGGACTCTGATATTTGTAATTTTCATGTAAAGTTTATCCCTCTACATTAGGCTTGAAGGAGATGGCAAAGCCTGCTTGTACGACTCCTGTAGACATGAGGAATAATGGCTATAGTGAATACTCAGTGTAGGTTAAACTGATAATCTGACAGTAGCCTGGTTTCACAATTCCTTCACTCCTAAGAGATGTTCACCTCTGTCCTACCACGATCACTCATAAACTCCTTGTGATGAGGAGTTCTACTGTCCAAGACCTCAACCTTTACCACTTCAGACTCTGAGCATAACCTCTTAGCCTTTTCACCATCACTACCCTCGAAACTTCTTCATACAACCTCTTTCTTGTTCAACTTGTGGCTATTCCTACAATCACCCACGTGGTGTGGCTTGCCTCCTCATCCAGCTTGGCCCCACCATCAGCCTTTTACCCACTACACGCTCTAGATCACACACACGCTCTGAACATCCCCTTCTCCCACCGTTCCACCTCTCCTGCCTTGTCCTCCTCCAGTCTTCATACAGATGGGTGGAGGTGGAAAGAAAAGTCATGAAAATGCTCCCAGTGGCTCCACTTTCACATCCATCCTGTGTAATTTCAGGCGGACTCTTCCTGACACTGGGCAACCCTTTTGTGGCTTTCTTAGCAACTCAGTAACTCATCTTTCAAACTCCAAAGCTCCATGCCTCCACTGCCCACTTCCCGCTACTCCTTGTCCCTCTGTGGTCTGGCTTGCTTCTACTATTCCACTGGAACGACGCTCACCACGGCTGCCAGTTATGTCATATTCCCCAAACCCAAGGAACACCACAGCAGATGATATTGTTGAAATATCATAAGGCCATTTCCAGCCCTTTCCTTCTGCCTCCTAATATAGAGGTTGGAAGAGTAAACACTCTCGCAGCCTCCTTTGGAAGTAAGAGAGACCACGTGACCCAGTGCTAGCTGGTAAGATGAAAGGGGATGTCCTTGGGGACTTCTGGGAAAGAATTACTACTTTCTGATAAAAGATGGAGAAGAGGTAGTCGGTATTATTCTCCTTTCTCCTCTCCTTGAACAGGATGCTGCCTGGAGGTGCAGCAGCCATAAGGTGGTCATTAGGTGACACATTTAAGGGCAAAAACAATGCTAACTGCTCAGCATGAAAATCATACAAAACATCTTAATTTCTTGGGTACAACGACGAGCCGCTGAAAGAGCTCTGGAATCATCACCCTCCAGACTTCCTGATACCTACTTCTGCTTCTTTAGATCTTTCCCTTGGTTTCAGATATTTTCTACATTCTCCTGGTTTCCCCCCTATTTCTCTGGTGGCTCCTCAGTCTTTTCTGTAAGATCCTATTCCAGGGCACATACTTTATATGCCATGGTTTCTCAGTGCTCTAAATGAAGACCTCATTTCTTCTCCCTCTAAAGAGTTCAACTACCATATGTAGACTAGTAGACTAATCATTCCAAATCAATAGCCTGCACCTCTGTTTTGAGATTTTTTTTTTTTTTGAGACGGAGTCCCGCTCTTGTTGCCCAGGCTGGAGTGCAATGGCACGATCTCAACTCAGGCAACCTCCGCCTCCCAGGCTCAAGCAATTCTCCTGCCTCAGCCTCCCAAGTAGCTGGGATTACAGGCATACACCGCCATACCTGGCTAATTTTGTATTTTTAGTAGAGACAGGGTTTCTCCATGTTGGTCAAGGTTGGTCTCAAATTCCTGACCTTCAGGTGATCTGCCCACCTCGGCCTCCCAAAGTGCTGGGATTACAGGCGTGAGCCACTGCACTCAGCCTTGTTTTGAGATTTAAATGCAAATATCCCATTAACTAAAAGTCATCTTAAAGTCATTATGCACCAGACGGAATCCAGCTTTATCCCTAGGCCTGTGATTATCCCCTCCTTGACATGGTACATAGCACCACCACTATACATTTAAGCCAGAATCCCAGGAGTTAGCCTGGACTCTTCCCCATTTTTCACCCCTCCCTCCATCCTCATGCCTAGTAACCAGCTCCTATAGAGCCTGTTCCCTAAGTGTCCCTCGACTGTATCCAGTTACATCCATCCCCAGAGCTATTTTCTTATCAGGCACCACTTCTAACCAAGATGACTGCACTGACCTTCTACCTGGCCACCCTGTGTCCACTCTTGATCTCTTCAATCCAGTCCCCACTCTTCTGCTAATAAGCCAGTTTTAAAAATTTGATCACATCAACAATGCTGCTTAAAATCCTTCAAGACCTTCTAGTCCTCAAGATACACAAACTTGGCTGGGCGCGGTGGCTCCTGGCTGTAATCCCAGCACTTTGGGAGGCTGAGGTGTGCAGATCACGAGATCAGGAGTTTAAGACCAGCCTGGCCAACGTGGTGAAACCCCGTCTCTAATAAAAATACAAAAATTAGCCGGGTGTGGTAGCACATGCCTGTAATCCCAGCTACTTAGGAGGCTGAGGCAGGAGAATTGTTTGAATCTGGGAGGTGGAGGTTGCAGTGAGCTAAGATTACACTACTGCACTCCAGCCTGGGCAACAAGAGCAAGAAAAACTCCATCCAAAAAAAAAAAAAAAAAAAAAAGACCTAGAGAGGATATGGCTGTCTACAAGCAAGCCAAGGAGAGATGCCTTAGAAGCAGCCAACCTGCAGATACCTTGATCTCACACTTCTTGCCTCCAGAACTGGGGAAATAAATCTCTTTTGTGTAAGCTGCCCAGTCTGTAGCATTTTGTTACAACAGCCCTAGCAAACTAAGAGTAAGCCACCTTGGAAGTAGCTACTCCAGCCCCAGTCAAGCCTTGGGATAACTGCAACTTTGGCCAATTATCTGAGTGCCATGAGAACCCATGCCAGAACTATCCAGGTAAGCTACTTCCTGACTCGTAGAAACTATGTAAATCAACAAATGTTTCTTCTTATTTTTAATTACTAAGCTTTGGGGGTATTTTGTTATGTGGCAATAGACAAACACAGTGGAATAAAAACAGACAAACTGACAACAATCAATTCTATTTAATCATTAAGTTCAGCAAAATAACATATATCATTCAGACTCAATTTGATATTATCAATACCATCTGATTTTGAGATCTTGTTTTAAAGAAATAATAAGCTCAAGGCTCAGTATGGTGGCTTATTCCTATAATCCTAGCACTTTGGGAGGCTGAGACGGGCGGATCACCTGAGGTCAGCAGTTCAAGACCAGCCTGGCCAACGTGGTGAAACCCTGTCTCTACTAAAAACACACACACAAAAATTAGCTGGGTGTGGTGGCGGGCACCTGTAATCCCAGCTACTTGGGAGGCTGAGGAAGGAGAATTGCTTGAACCTGGGAGTCAGAGGTTGCAGTGAGCCAAGATGGCGCCACTGTACTCCAGCCTGGGCAAAAAGAGCAAAACTTGGTCTCAAAAAAAAAAAAAAAAAGCTCTACTCTGCCCTCAACTTTAAATGTGAAAAACAGGCCAGGGATGGTGGCTCACACCTGTAATTCCACCACTTTGGGAGGCTGAGGTGGGTAGATTGCTTGAGCCTGGTAGGTCAAGACTGCAATGAGCCATGATCACGCCACTGCACTCCAGCCTGGGCAACAGAGTGAGACCCAATCTCAAAAACGAAAACCAACAAATAAACTTGGCAAAACATTCCAAAGATTACCTGTAGCTTCAGTCCAAATGTGTTATACATAAAAAGAGAGGCACGTATATTTTTTGGTTTATCAGTGTAGCTGGACAAGCCAGACAAAGTAACATACACGAGAATCAGCAGAATTCCTCTTTGGCAATGTTCTTTTCCAAGAATGACATTACACATGAGCCAAAATAGCATTTGGTCTAAACTAGACCCCTGTTTCTGTGCTTGTATATATTCTGTTCTCTTTTTTTTTTGAGACAGAGTCTTTCTGTCACCCAGGCTGGAGTGCAGTGGTGCAATCTCAGCCCACTGCAACCTCTGCCTCCTGTGTTCAAGAGATTCTCGTGCCTCAGCCTCTCGAATAGCTGAGATTACAGACCTGTGCCACCATGGCTGGCTAATTTTTGTATTTTTAGTAGAGACAGGGTTACACCATGTTGGCCAGGCTGGTCTTGAACTCCTGACCTCAATCCAAAGTGCTGGGATTACAAGCGTAAGCCACCGCACCCAGCCTGTGCTTGTATATATTCTTCATTTTTTTTTTTTGAGATGGAGTTTTACTCTTGTCGCCCAGACTGGAGTACAATGGTGTGATCTTGGCTCACTGCAACCTCCACCTCCCAGGTTCAAGAGATTCTCATGCCTCAGCCTCCTGGGATTACAGGTATGCACCCCCATGCCCAGCTAATTTTTGTATTTTTAGTAGACATGGGGTTTCGCCATGTTGGCCATGCTGGTCTCAAACTCCTGACCTCAAGTGATCCGCCCACCTCAGCCACCCAAAGTGCTGGGATTACAGGCGTGAGCCACCACCACCGTGCGCGGCCTGTGCCTGTATATATTCTTAGGCAAGGACAGGAAAAGAAACAGCAGAGTTTTCAAAGGTGAACTTGGCAATGTCACACACGGTACCTTTTGATGGCCACCAGCTCCCCGGACTCGTTACTCTTGCCCATAAGCACACTCCCATAGGTGCCGTCCCCCAGCTGTCTCATGGTTGTGTATCGGTTCATCTTGGAGAAATAACGCAGCAGAAGTTGTTGAGTGAAATGGTTTCCTTGTTGAATATAAATCTGAATGCTTCTTAATTTTTATTTTTTTTTGTCCTCACACTGTTGTTACTATTGCTGGTGACATGTGTCATCATTAAATTAGGCTCTTCCTCAAGATTATATAGGTTCACAAGCTATAGCATGAAGGAATCTGGCAAGGAAACAGCGCTTCCATTCTTATGAACACCCTAAAAAAGAAAACAAGGATATGAATTTTCGTTAACAAGTCTCTCCAAAAATTGTAATGACGACTTAGAGCACAGGGGAAAATTATAAATAATATTTATAGTGTGTTAGATATTTGTCAGTAAGTCATTTGTGCTATGTGAAATGAAGTTCCCTGATAATACTCACTTGGTAAATGCCTCATTTACATGGTACTGTGCTATTTATGTTCAGTAATGGCATAATGGCTTGTGTTATTCCTTTTTTACTCAATATAACCTATATTATTACAAATCAGACCTTGGAAAATCGACATCTATATTATATCCCTTCTTTGAATCAGTTTTTTTTATCATATTTAATTTGGCATATTAAGTTGAAAACTGTACTGCTTGTTAATTTTCTGTGAATTATAAGTACTCCAATTGGGTAAGGTGCATATAAAGCAAACTTTTATTTTATATGAAATAAATAGCATTATTTTAAAATTTCATATTCTATTTAAATAACATGCTATTTTATTTTACATAAAACTAAGAAAAATTTAAGCATTTAGTGTCGCACTAGGTTCATACAAAGAAATAAGAAACATAGCCAGGCATGGTGGCTGACTTCTGTAATCCCAGTGATTTGGGAGGCCAAGGCAGGAGGATTGTTAGGCCAGGAGTTCGAGACCAGCCTGCGAACCATATCATACCCTTCTTTAAAAAGCTAAATTAGATGGGCTTGGTGGCATACTTGTAGTCCCAGCTACTTGGGAGGGTGAGGCACAAGGATTGCTTGAGCCCAGAATTCAAGGTTACAGTGAGCTATGATCATACCAGTAAACTCCATCCTGGGTGACAGAGTAAGACTGTCTCTAAAGAAATTTTTTAAAAAAATTTTAAAATAAAAATTACTTTTTTAAAATAAAAAAGAGAAGTAGAGCCTGAAGATGTGACTGAATGCTGTAATCTCATAATCAAACTTGAATGAATGAGGAATTTGTTCATGGATGAACAACGAAAATGTTTTATTGAAATGGAATCAATTCCTGGTGGAGATGCTATTAACATTGCTGAATAATAACAAAGTTTTTTTTTTGAGACAGAGTGTCACTCTCTCACCCAAGATGGAGTGTAGTGACTCAATCTTGGCTCACTGCAACCTCTGTGTTCCAGGTTCAAGTGATTCTTGTCCCTCAGCCCCTGCCCTGTCACCATCATTCCCTCACTCCCCAGTAGCTGGGATTACAGGTGAGCCATGTTGGCCAAGCTGGTCTTGAACTCCTGGCCTCAAGTGATCCACCCACCTCAGCCTCCCAAAGTGCTGGGATTACAGGCGTGAGCCAGTGCCCAGCCAACAACAAAGGATTTAGAATATTACATAAACTGAGTTGACAAAGCAGTGGCAGGATTTGAGGAGACTGACTCCAATTTTGAAAGAAGTGCTGTTGTAGGTAAAAATGCTATCAAGCAGTCTCACGTATTACAGAGAAATATTTTATGAAAGGAAGAGTCAAGCAATGGAGCAAATGTCATTGTTGTCTTATTCTGAGAAATGGTCTCAGCCATCACAGCCTTCAGCAGCCACTACCCTGATGGGCCAGCAGCCATCAGCATAGAAGTAAAACCCTCCACCAGCAAAAAGATTGTGACTCACTGATGGCTCAGATCATCAGCATTTTTTAGCAATAACATTTTATTTATTTATTTTTGAGACAGAGTCTTGCTCTGTCACCCAGGCTGGAGTACAGTGGCGCCATGTCAGCTTATTACTACTGCTGCCTCCCAAGTTCAAGCAATTTTCCTGCCTCAGCCTCCTTTCCAAGTAGCTGGGACTACAGGTATGAGCCATCATGCCCAGCTATTTTTTTGTATTTTTAGTAGAAATGGGGTTTCACCATGTTGGCTAGGCTGGTCTCGAACTCCTGATCTCAAGTGATCCCCCCACCCACTGCCCCCTCCTCTGCTTCCTGAAGTTCTGGGATTACAGGCGTGAGCCACCGCACCTGGCAGCAATAAGATATTTTAAAATTAAGGTATGTACATTTTTCTTCTAGAGAAAATGCTACTGCACACTAAACATACTACAGAATAAAGTAAACATAATTTGTATATGTATTTTGAAACCAAAAAACATGCATGACTTGCTTTATTGTAATATTCAATTTATTGCCATGGTCTGGAGCTAAACCCACAGTATCTCTGAAGCATGTCTGTATTTTGTTTTAAAGTGCCTTTACAATTTAGTACTTCAATCAGAGTCATTTTTCTCTCACTGTAGCACTTTCATTTAAATCATAGAAATTGCTTCTCTATTATGCGCAGAAATTTAAGACCAACAAGGACATGCGGTAGTTGTCAAAGTACTTAAGATTTTCCAGAACAAGCTTTCTGGGACTACAGGCATGCGCCACCACACCCGGCTAACTTTTGTATTTTTAGTAGAGACAGGGTTTCACCATGTAGGCCAGGCTGATGTTGAACTGCTGACCTCAAGTGATCCTCCTGCCTCAGCCTCCCAATCACACTGGGATTACCGGCGTGAGCCATCGGGCCTGTCCTTGTCTCCTTACGAACTGGTGCTGGCTTTTACTATCCCTAATGAGGCTAAAGGAAACATCCTCTTTGATCCAAAATCATGCAGACTAAACTCCACAACTCAAGTCACGTACCCCAACCTCTACCTTAAGATTCCTAATGCAGCACCTCTAGTAACATGGCAATGATGGCAGCGAGTGTTATTCTGGAAGTGGAAACCTGAGTGCCAAAAAATTTACCTTCATTGGCCCAGCAACATGAAAAAATAGGATGAATTACTCCTCTCCTCCAGTGTTAAGGCCATCAGCCACCCCCATCACCATGGCCCTGGGGTGGGAGGGCGACCTGAAGCCGAACCAGCGCGATCAGCGCAACAGAACATCCAGTCACTGATGACTTTCAGCCCTGGCCTCCACACCCAGCCACTTTGAGAGTGGCTACTGTGGCAACTTCATTCCAGGCCTAACCAATCCACTTCTGAATAAACACCGGCAACACCAATTGTCTTTCAACTGATGATGGCTATAGGATAGGGTATACTAATATTGAGGGAAGAATAAGCAAGGAACACAACCATTTCCCAGCTCCTTTCTGTTTAAGGGGTGGAGTGGTGAGGATTATGGCCGTGACACACATTTTTAAAAGGTCAGATTAGTGGCTCTGTGAGGATCTGTCTCATGTAAGTCCTACCTAACCTTTAAGTAAAAGAAGTTTACATACTGCGCTCCCCAAGAAAAAATTTTGGAAAGGCTTCTTTTGAACTATATTAATTACAAAATCAACAGCTCCCCAGGGTGAGAAGCTGATCTATTACAACTGTTCCTTCTATCCCCTGAACATACAGGGACAATGGTCTCATGTAGAGACATAGATATAACGGTAAAGCTTTTAAAATATTATTTCCAGGTACCTACTAACTGATAGCACATAAGCAACTACTTTTATCAGCGTAGCGCAGCAACTACTGATTACTAATCAAAAAGCTATGTTCCTTAGACACAGACTTCCCGTGGTTCTCCAGTTCACACACAATAATATTTCTCCACAAGTTACATACGTGCTTCTCTGTTGACCTATGGAAAACTAATTCTACAAAATAGGGATATATTAACAGTTTCTTATGTACATGAATATATATATATATATATATATATACACACACACATTCAACAAAGCAAAACCCAAGTAAATATAACTGTCATCCTCAATTAATTTAATAGAATTGTTAGAAACTTGGAATTTTCCACAGTCAAGCTATATTTATTGACTTTCCTATGGTTAGAGAAAAAGATACTTACTTAGAGGCTTAATTGTAGACCTACACTAAAACAAATTACCCTTATAATTTACCTCTCATTCTGGATTTCAACTTTTTAATCTAAGTTCATAATTACTGTTTAAGTGCACAACTGTTGTAAATCTGGGCTTTATTCTCAACAGCTTCTGCCAGCTATTAAGAGATTTAGATAGGATTAAAGAAGATTAAAATAGAGGGCAAATGAAGGGTAAAACTCATGTCTGCCAATCACTGAACAGATAAAGCTTGGATGTCTTCAACTTGGCTTTCTAGAACATACTATAATTACATCACTCCGAGGCTGGCATTAACGCTTGCAATAATTAACCTTTTAAAAGTCACTAAATTCTTTAAAAAGCAACACAGGAAAAAGATCCCAAACTAATCAAGTCAAAGGTTTACAGAAAATAAATGAGGAGCCATTACAATGGGAAAGCAAAGATTCTATCTTAAAATATAAGAGCACAGTTCACTGTGCTGTTATTCACAAATTATTTCAAAGCGAACACAAAGTCCACCCCGACGAAGAGATTTAATGTCCGGCTCGGTGCCTGCTGTGGAAGGAGTCGGTGGCGCGGTCGGGGTAAGTTTCTCCCTCCCCGTCAAGCCTCGGGAATCGGAGGGCCGGGGAGGCGGGGCCTGACCGAAAGGCTGGAGAGTCACTTTCGTCTCCATCATTTCACTCAATGGGTTGTTCTGCTTAATAAATTAAGACCGATAACTTTTGGTTCCCTCTTTGAGAATTCCGTTATCATTAGAACAAACGTCTGTTTCTTTGAAACGATTATCTAAACACAATTCATACAGCTCTTTCCTTGTAGAGTTGCGATCACTCACCACTAAAAACCAGTTTTGTTTGTTTTGAGATAGAGTCTCGCACTGCCGACCAGGCTGCAGTGCAGAGGCTCGATCTCAGCTCACTGCAGTCTTCGCCTCCCGGGTTCAAGCAATTCTTCTGCCTCAGCCTCCGGAGTAGCTGCGACTACCACGCCCAGCTTTTTATTATTATCATTATTATTTTATTTTTTAAATTTTTTTATTTTTAGTAGAGATGGGGTTTCACCATGTTGGCCAGGATGGTCTTGATCTGCTGACCTTGTTATCCGCCCGCCTCGGCCTCCCAAAGTGCTGGGATTACAGGCGTGAGCCATCGCGCCCGACCTAAAAACCAGTTTCACTGCTCTCGACATCGCACTCTTGACCTGTCTCTAAATTAAAACGCATTATTTGCAGAAAAGGGGCAGTTTAGTCACACGCTTTCTGGTCCGACTTTGCAAACCTGGGCCCTTAAAAAGGCTCCGGGGCAGCGTGCTGGAAGGAGTGCGGGCGTCCCCGGGCCCCGGGAGTCCGGCGCGGTGGATGGGACGCAGTTGGGCGGGATTCCACTTTCACCTGATCATCCTTTGGGATGCACCAGCGAGGGCTGGAAACGGACCTAGTTCCTGTTTTTCTCCCTCGTTTTAGATTTTGCAACAGTTCAGAACACAGTTCCGCTGCCTCCCGGAGACCTAATCCTGCTTCTGTCCTATAAGCAGTTTCCACCGCCAGCCCACGCAGCAGGGGAGCGGAGGAGGGCGTAGAGGTAGGAGAGCCCGGGGAAGAGGTTCGGGGAGGGGGTCTCTCAGGCAGAGGGACGCCCCGCCGTCATCCTCCCACGCCTCCCAGGAGGCGGGAGAGTGGTCGGGAGGCCTGGGAGACACCGACAGTCTTCCCTCGGGCGGACAATTCGCGCCTGCTCCGCCCCTCCGGGGGACCCTCCTCCTTCCAGTTCTTCCCTTACCCGCATCCGGGACCCGTCTCCCGGCGGAGATTGGCCCTGGTAGCACAGGGCGCCGAGGGGACATGCCCGGCCAGCCTGACAGGTCGGGCTCGGGCTGGGTCGGACGGAGGGTGGCGGCCCCGCAGCCCGCTCGGGATTACCTGCCCGCGCCGGCCGCTTACCTCGTTCACTCCCTTGTGAAAGCTCCGGCTTCTTGTGTGTTTCATCTCCTAGGAAACGGCGGGGGCAGCAGGCGGGCTTACGGCCCGCCCCGAGGGCGTGGCCTCGCGGGAAAGCCCCGCCAATCCCGCAGGCCCCGCTTTCCCAGGGGCGGGGCTTCAGGGAGCGGTGCTCCTGCTAAGCTGCGAGTCTCCCGTTTAGACTTGGGGTTTAGGGGAGTTGATGACCTTTTCAGTCAGTGCTATCTCAGAAGCTTGGCTTGTTTGCCCTTTGTTTTGTTTTGGTTTTGTTCCGATTCACTCTACAAAGTCTTGATTAATTAAATATGGTTCCCAGACCAGACAGGGCAAGAGGACGTCTGTTTGCCTCATTCTTGCACTTATACGCCTGGGGAAAAACTGTTCTTGTATGCAGTTCCTCATATTGGTCAATTCCTCGGCTATTTATTGTCTCTTGGGCTGCACTTCTAAGTTTGCTTCCATTTATTCATTCAGAGCCTAGTATCAGCCACAGGTTTAGATAATTTCAAAAAAGATGAATAAATGGGTAAACTGCAACTCGTCTAGAATTTAGAGAGGAGGGCACATTTGAGTTACTGCAGAAAGTTCAGATTGGTTGGCAAAAAGGGTCTATGAAACAGAAACGAGCGACAAAGCAGTGGTGCGTCCAGTTAGTAATTATTAGGTGTCAGGCTGTGGGCTTGGGACCGAGAATAGTGCCAAGATAGACAAGATAGACATGCTTGTGGCCCTCACCACTTAAAGTGAAGTAGGCTTTCACGCGTATGATTATGGCAGCACACTTCACAATTGCAAAGGTGTGGAACCAACGTAAGTGCCCAGTGACTAACAAGTGGATAGAGAAAATGTGGTGTATATACAGCATGGGATACTACACAGCCACAAAAAAAGAATGGAATATTATCTTTTGCAACAACTTGGAAGAGCAGGAGGCCATTATTCTATGCGAAGTAATACAGGAGTGGAAAACCAAAAACTGTATATTCTCACTTGTAAGCGGAAACTAAGCTGTGAGTGTGCAAAGGCATACAGAGTGAAATAATGGGCTTCGAAGACTCAGAAAGGGGAAGATGGGAGGGGGGCTAGGGATAAAAAGCTATGCATTAGGTACAATGTACATTACTTGGATGATGGGTGCGCTAAAATCTCAGAATTCACCACCATATATTTCTTCTATGTAACAACAACAACAAAAAATGCTTGTACCCCAAGCTATCGAAATAAAAATTTAAAAAACAGGCCGGCTGTGGTGGCTCATGCCTGTAATCCCAACACTTTGGGAGGCCATGGTGGGTGGATCACCTGAGGCCAGGAGTTTGAGACTAGCCTGGCAAACATGGCAAAACCCTGTCTCTACAAAAAATACAAAAAACAGCTGGGTGTTGGCACACGCCTGTAATCCCAGCTACTTTGGAGGCTGAGGCAGGAGAATCACTTGAACCCAGGAGGCAGAGGTTGCAGTGAGCAGAGATAGTGCCACTGCACTCCAGCCTAGGTGACTGAGCAAGACTGTCTTAAAATAGTAATAATAATAAATAAAAGATTCATTGCTCTCCAATAAATAAGTGAAGTAGGCAGGCAAAGTAAGCATAAGTTAGGTAGGTCATAACGGCTTTATATACTCAGTTGTGCACCCTAAGCCTTAACACGTGTCGATGAGGGAGACCAATGAAGAATTTCCCACAGGAGAGTGACATGTTCACATTTGCATTAAAAAAATCACAAGAGCAGCAGTGGGTAGGGTGGATTACAGCTGTGAGTCTGGAGGCAAGAGAAAGATCAGGAGTCTATTGCAATTGATTGGGAAGAAATTATAAGGATCCAGCTCTAGCAGTGATGATGGAAATAAGACAGAGAAAGAAAGAATTCAAGGGATGTTTAGGAGTTAAAATTCGCAGGACCATCAGGCTTAGATGAGTGGTGGATAGTGGTATCCATGACCAAGTTGGAAAATAATGGAAGAGGAGTTGATTTAGGGATGGAGGATATGAGAGATAACAAGCTCAGCTGTGAAAGTTTTGAATTGAGGAAAATCCTAATGGAGATTCCAAGAAGGAAGTTTGAAATATTGATTTGTAACTTAGGGTTTTTGTTTTTGTTGTTGTTTGTTTGTTCTTTCAGATGGAATTTCACTCTTGTTGCCCAAGCTGGAGTGCAATGGTGCAATCTTGGCTCACCACAACCTCCGCCTCCTGGGTTCAAGTGATTCTCCTGCCTCAGCCTCCCAAGTAGCTGGGATTACAGCCATGCACCACCACACCTGGCTAACTTTGTGTTTTTAATAGAGACGAGTTTTCTCCATGCTGGTCAGGCTGATCTCAAACTCGCAACCTCAAGTGATCTGCCCGCCTCAGCCTCCCAAAGTGCTGGGATTACAGGCATGAGCCACCGCTCCCAGCCAACTTAGGGTTCTTCTGGAGCTAGAAATACAGATTTGTTAGGGTACTGTGGATGAAATCATGGCTATAGTTGAAATAAACTGTAAGAAGAAAAAAGGGATGGGATTCTGGAAAACTCCGTCCTCTAAAGAGTGGAGAAAGGAAGAGTAGGGGTAAGGGAGAGACAGCCTGAAAAAAGAAAAGTTAGGGAAATAGTAGGAGATCCCTCAGAAAAATGCTATTTCAGAATGAGGAAAGGTAGGTTTCCCAAAAGAAAGATAAAGAGAAAGGAAGGAAGGAAAGAGGGAGAAAACAAAGGACAAATGGCATTTATTCCGAACGAAGAGCTTTTCTGTTTCAAAACAAGGAGACCATGCAGAAAACATTTTTTTGGGGGTCACATTTCAAAACAGGAAGAATAAAAATTCTCCAAGCACTCCTAACCCCTTCTGAAAGGTACCTAATACCTGAGCAGAGCAGTGAACATACCTGAAAGGCAAAGGTGGATCCACAGGCAAATCCCATTTCAGCATTTCAACAGCAGATGAAGCCTTGGACCAGTGGCAGTGGGGCTGAGCAGGACCAGGGACTAGAAGATCAGCCAGGGGAGCTTGGAAGTGGCCAAAGTGGTCCCAGGTCAGGAGCACCATCTGGATCCCAAAGGAAACAAACGCAATCATCTCTGAAGAAGGCATCCTCAACTTAGGCCTCTAGGTTTTTTAAAAAAATATGAGCTCATGACCACAAAACACTACAAGGACTTTACAATTCTTTAATTCAGACTACCCATTCAATTTATGTGCTAATGTCGTCTAATATTTTAGTTTTGTGTCTATAACCCTATAGATTGGTGTATTATTTTACATTCAGAACATTTGTGCATTGATACATGTGATGATTTCTTTGCTCTTCTTATCTTTTTGTATCTCAGACCTTCCTCCTGGGAGGAAGGCAGAGATTTATGTCTTTCTTGGTCACTGATATCACTATCCCTGAAACAGTGCCCGGCATATTCCAAGTGCTCAATAAATACTTATTGAACGAATAAATGACTGTTTCCTCTGCCTGCTCTCTGGAGAATGAATTGTAGAGAGGCCAGTGGGAGGCAGGCAGTAAGACAAGTTAGGGGGAATGTTCAGTTGCATAGTTAAGCTGTGATGGTGAATTGCAGAAGTGAAGAGCAGTGGAGACAGAGGGAAGCATTGTGGTGTCCAATCACAAATCAGTCCTTAGATAGATTTCATTTAAGGTCTGAATTCTTAGGGACTTTAGAAGACCAAGTCTTTGCTTGGAACCTCCTGTGACAGAATGACAGAACTCACTACACCTCCAATCCCAGCTTGGGATGGGTCTGATTGTTTAAATCACCCTCCTTTTATTGAATGATAATATGTCACTTTGCGGTTCCTGAATTTTCTCCATCATGATCTGTAGTGGACTTCTTGTTTTTGCCGGTCCAGCATCTACCTGCCCAGTTTTCTTTCTTTTTTTTTTTTTTTTTTTGAGATGGAGTCTCACTCTGTCACTCAGGCTGGAGTGCAGTGGGGCAATCTTGGCCCACTGCAGCCACCATCTCCCTAGTTCAAATGATTCTCCTGCCTGAGCCTCCCAAGTAGCTGGTATTACAGGCACACACCACTATGTTGGCTATTTTATTTTTTTCTTTGAGACAGAGTTTCACTCTTGTTGCCCAGGCTGGAGTGCAATGGAGGAATCTTGGCTTACTGCAACCTCCACCTCCCAGGTTCAAGTGATTCTCCTGCCTCAGCCTCCTGAGTAATTGGGATTACAGGCATGTGCCACCACGCCTGGCTAATTTTGTATTTTTAATAGAGACAGGGTTTCTCCATGTTGGTCAGGCTGGTCTTCAACTCCCGACCTCAAAGTGCTGAGATTATAGGCATGAGCCACTGTGCACAGCCTGCCCCACCCAGCTAATTTTTGAAGTTTGAGTACAGATAGAGTCTTACCATATTGGCCAGACTGATCTCGAACTCCTGACCTCAAATGATCTGCCCGCTTCTCGGCCTCCATAGTGCTGGGATTATAGGCGTGAGCCACTGTGCCTGGCCCTACCCCCAGTTTTCTTTGGGCAGATACCTCTGACCCACTTGGCTATGTGGCTCAGCTTCAGAGATGGGCATGTGAGCCACTCGAGTCTCAGCACGGCTTTCATAGATGGCAACATGATTCTAAGCTACTGGAAAAGACAAACTCCCCTTCTGCAAGGGATGCTTAGCAGTACCATGAAGGCCCAGTGGCTGGGGCCAGCTTCACTGCACAAGGACAGCCTTTCTGAGAAGGAATAAGGAAGAACGCAGAGCTGGGAGGGACTGACGTTGTTTCCAGAAGTCAGCGTTGGAGCATCTGGAGAGAGCCACGCAGATAGCTATTCCCAGTCTCTTCAGTGACAAGGGTCAGAAAATTTCTCTTTTGGCTTAGTCCTTTGATTTTCATTTCCGCTTGCAATTGGAAGTGTTTCTGACTTGTATAGGGCCATAGAGAAGACTTACTTTTTCCTCCCACATGTTAACCCTTCCAGTATTTGAAGTTAGCTGTCCCCCATCTCTCCATTTACAGACTTGTGATTGGACACCAAACCAGAATTGCAGGGTGAAGGGTCGTTCCTTAGCCAGTCCAGCCTCCCATCTCATGCTT